GCAGGACGTGTTAAGGCGGAAACAAGAACTTTGATGCTATGAGACACATAACCTTGATTCGGAGAGGACTGTGAAGCATATTTAGTGGCGTCCAGATAATAACAGGGAACGATTATTCGCCTCACCTCCAAAGCCTCCTCGCGCAGACATACAGAAAGCGCATGGACCGAGTATAAAAAGTAGTAGGGCTTGTCCATAGGAAACATGTCGTCTTCAGTCTTCTCAGTAGACTTTACCAGCTGTAAAACTCTCTCCTGTGGCGGAAACACGGTAAGGAAATCATAGATCTGTGACAAAGATTCAGTTAGAGCCGATGCTAGCTATATCCTGAGCAAAAGACCTACTTCTCGCGCTAGATGCTCCTCTATACCCAGAAGATCATAAAGGTCATCGAAATGCTTGAGCACTTCAGAATCCACCGAAGTCAAAGACTGGCGTCGTCCGGTAAGTGCTACTTCTCGACTTTCTGGGTCTCGACGAACAATCAGGAGGCCAGTTCCGAGCTTCAGATCCCGCAAGGTAATGTCGGGTTTCTCAAAGAGATCAATCCGCTGGCCTCCAAATATAGTATTCAGCTTGGTGAAGCCTGTCACACGTACTAGAGCTTCAACGAGCTCCGCAGCGGTTGATAGATCCCCAATCTGCAATGAGTTTACCTTGGTTTGAGTACCACCGTTGAAAGCTTGATAGCGGATATTGATTAATTCACCATTGATGACCTTAGTTGACAGATCGAGGGACGCTGAGTTCTGAGGGGGGCTATATTGAGGGCGGCTTCTCAAACCTTGGAGAAACTGGCGCAGGAAAAGCAAGGAACGGCTGAATCTTAGCTCTTCCGGGTGGACACTAGACTCAGATGCGGTGCCCGTCGACTCTCCCATGGGCCGGTCACTGTGTGCATGTGCAGGGCGCAGATTAGAAGCAGCTGTTTTGAGCTGTTCGACACAGCGATCGACCAGCGCAATGTGAGTGGCTTCAACTGCGGAGCGAGGGGAGCGATTGATCACACTATGATCAAGGTATACTTCGATGGCGTAGCTGGTCGCGTCTGTTTCAATGGTGCCAGGCGGCGCAGTCAGAATCATGTTCCAGATTCGCTCCATACCCGGAATGGTCACGACTTCATTCTCGCCAGCAACTGGTGGAGGACGGAAGCGAATCTCATAGTTGACGGCATGTTTTGCAAAGTAGAGGATTTCTTGCGAGTAGTCCTCAGCAGGCGAAAGCTTTGGCAGATACTCGGAGAGGCATCGCTCGATGAAAGGGTTCGCTTGTGCGACACATCGTGTTAGAGTACATAACCTGTCCCAGAGAACTCGTCTACCTTGCTGCACGAGCGACTTGGACATCAAGACCTCACGCCACAGGATATCGCTTAAATCTGGTGTTATAAACTCCGGGACGCTATCGATGATGCGAGACAGCAGGTGTATGCGCGAGAGAAACCCATTCCAAGAGAAAGTATCCTCGATATCGATTTGCTGGTCGGCCACTGCTTTCGTAAGCTCGGCTATCACCAAGCGCGTCAAATCAAAATCCTCGGCAAGCTTGCGGATGCTCGGAGTGTCATTATTTGCGAGAAGAGCATTCAGGGCCTGAATACTGCCAGCCGTAAATTCGTTCATCTCGGCCAAATCTTGGACGCAAAGTTCGTAGGTTTCCATTTTGTCAGACTCACTCAAACCAATGTCCATAAAAGCACTCAGTTGGTGGGCCGCAAATTTCTGGAGCTGGGCCTTGTGGTCCACGGACAGCTCCTCAGTGGCAGCACTCTCCCGAATGAGGCGCACACAAAGGCGTAAAGGAATAGCATCCACATGTCCTAAGAGCTCGTGGCGATACCGTTCACTGTGTTTCTCGCGCATATGGAATAGCAACTGTTCACAGAATTCGATCATTCGCGCATCGAAGCGAGCCAACGGGAGTTCCAAGAGCTTAGAGCAAAGGTAAAGCAACGTAGGCGACGTGGATACGTGCATATGAAAAGTTCTCGACAGCATTCCCAATATCTCAGACACCGCTCGTGAATCCGGGCTCTCCGTTACCGTCCTCCATATCGTGTCGGTATCAGCGTCGGTATACGTGGACGTGACCACCAAAAATCCGATGACGTTCCCACTTCTGCTGATCAGCTGCGGATGCGAATCGATGCCAACAATATATTCCACCATACGGCTCCGCCTCAGGAAATCCACCAGGTATTGAACAACTGGGTGATCGACTCCATCGGGGCTTTGCTGAATATGCTGCCGAAAGACAGTGACAAGGTCGACTTGCATCGTTTCCATGCCGTACACTCTGAGTTCCATCCGCCCGTCCATGATATGCTTCTTCAGTACAGCAAATTTCCAACCATAATAGACAACGAAAGCCCGAGCTTCAAGTGGGATATCAGGTGGGATGTCAGCAGGAATCTGTATGCAGAGATCATCCACAATCTGGTCCGACCATTCTCGACTCCAAAGGCAGAAGTTAAGATATGTGTGCGAGACAGCGCGAAGCATTGGGTCACTGGTTTCGCTGGACAACCAAGAAGACTTCTTAGTGATGTGAAATTGATACTTGTCGTCAAAAGCTCGAACCAAAGGGTAGAGCGCCTTGAGGGTACGGCTGTAGACGGGGGAATTGATCAGTACTTCGTCAACCCCGGACTTGCGTCGCTCGACGCCCGACTCTACTAGGTTATTCACGATGTCGAGGACTAAGATCAAGGCCTGTGACAAGTATGGCCACTGAGTTACCAAGCTCGTGAGGCAAGCCGCGAACTCGGACAGTCGCTTAACGATGTCATATGGAGGCGAGGCGAGTTTATCGTTGATACGTGTGATCATATTAGGGACTTCAATGCCAAAGGACTTCTCCATAGCACGGAAGAAAGGGATAAGATTGATCTGCAGTATCCATCCTAGCGACGGCAAATAACCTTTGGACAACAGTTCTGATGGCTGCAAATTCGGGTCCTTGACCGCCTGGTTCAGAAGCAGGGTATCGAGACGAACAATGTGGAGGGCCAGCTGGGCATAGTTGAGGATGAATTCTTCCAAGCAAGCCCACAGAGCCTCGCCTTGCTCCGGTACAAGCACCTGACTGCACAGGTATTAGTGTTGATCCAAGGTTGTGATCGGGCCGTCTTGAGGAGTCACGAAGACAAGAGAGCCTACTCACATCCGGCGTAGCAAGCCATTCATCATGCTTGGTACCTCTTCCCAAGCATCACGGTCCTCTACTAAGACTGCATATGTTAAAGAGTTGAGGTTGTTCACCACATCGTCCAGCCACGTCTTCACGGCGTTGAAGATTGTGGTGTCGAGGTCCGAGCCTGCAGGCGAATTCAGTTTGAGTTTCTTTCCCACTCAAGCCCAGGCGAGAGCCGTACCTTTCTCAAGGGCCACGCTAATCTCTTCCATGCTCTCGCGCGACTCTGTTCCCGGACGAAGCTTCGGAAATGTGTCTATCAAAGACAGATGGTCGTGAAGCTGTACAAGCTCCGGGGTTACCGGTTCTCGCAGTGCCTCCCCTAGCGGCTTCCAACTCGACGTATTGGGATCCTGGTCCATATCTTCTAGATCTGCCACCTCGATTTCCGGACTCTGCGCAGGCGACGACGACAGGGATATTGCCGCGGGAGCTTCGTCACCGGCCCCATCGGTGGGAGCCGTTGGTTGGCTGGGACCGGCCTGTTTTGTCGGCGAATCGCTAGGAGCAGAAGCCATGGTTTCGGAGATTGGAGACTTCACGTTGATGGTCACTCGACTGGCCGGACGAGACGACGGGGAAGCTTCCTCGCCCAAAGTGGCAGGAGCATCGGTGATGTGGTTGGGAACTTGAGAAGCGGAAGTGTCGTTGGAGACGGACCAGGAATCACATGCTCCACTTCCACTGTCGAGACGGGGACGTTTTCGCGTAGAGTGAGGGTCGTTATCTTCCATGGAATCACCAAAGGGACGCGTCGTATCGGCTGGGGTAGTGTCGGGCGGGGTGCTAGAGGTCTCTAGCGGGGCAGCTGCCATAGCATTTTTCTTAGCTTGGTGGAAGGAGGGAAAAGGTTAAGTAAGGTGGGGGTGGAGGGAAGTGTAGTGAAATGGATCGACTAGAGGTGAAGAATGAGGTTGGGAGGGAAAATCAAGAAGCTGATAAGAGATAGATTCTGGTATGGCTGAAGAGACTCCTTAGAGTATGAGCACCAAAGGAGTGGATGGGGAAGTAAGGTAAGGTTGAGCTCAGTTGGTGTAGATTAGAGAAGCGGAATAAAACGAGGAACCAACTTTTGTTCTTTGGATAGAAGGGAGGATGGAAAGCAGGCAGCTATCAGTTAAGTAGCTGATTCAGTTGACCCATTCAAGCCACAAAGGAATGGATGACTGCTTTTTCTTCCCGAAGAACCGGAAGTAAGATGGGAGGGGGAAGAGCGAGAAAGGAGGAGGGGGGAGAGAGAGAGAAGGTGTATGAAGGTAGTTAGGTAGGTAGATAGGTTGAATAACAAGACAGGTAAGGTAAGGGAAACGCGACAAGTTGAATGGTGAATGCAGTGTGGAGGAAGTGAAAGGCGGAAGAAGTGAGCAGCAGTAGACTAGCAGCAGCAGTAGCAGTAGCTCTGACGTTGCGGTGGAGCCGCGATTCGGCGGGTTAAGAGAAAGAGGAGGGGGGGGTAAGAAAGAGTTCTGGCCAACGGCAGTCCCGCCAGTTGACATTATCTGTCCTCTGGTTGTTTAATGCAATCATCACTATTGATTAATTCGGAGGAGAAACATTTGGCCTAACTATAAATTCATTATTCCATACTAGCTCATTTAAGCATGACATCAAATGTTGCTATGAGTGTTAATAACCTATGTTCCTAGGATTTCCTACGTAGTAAACTCAGTGGAAGGCCCCCTGATCCCGGAAATCCCATGCCATTAAATCATTTTCTCGTCATGAACCCCAACCTCACCAAACTTCCCTTTCAAAGTGATCATGCAATATTTATTGTCATTCTGTCTCCATTAATCAATCCTTTCCTACGATGGAGACCTCTCCAGCAGCTCTAGGAATGAGAATCCCTGTCCCTGATCAACCTGAAGCCAAGCGTAATAGGCTGAAAGTGTCATGCAGAGAGAGTCCAAAGGAAAAGCATTAGATTCTAGGCTAGGGGCGATGCAGTTCTAGGGCCAACACACTTGACACACAGCTCACAGGTCAGGCACAGCTAAAAAGCCCCCGTGAAGCTTAAATTGAACCCATACTCCACTTGACTCTTTGATCCTTAGCGCGGGGTAGCTTTACCTTCCCTGGACTATTTTAATACTTACGTAGTCTATCGCCTCGCTTGCTGCATGGTCCCGGAGAAGGACCGTTAAACCGGTCCCCACCAGACCGTCGATCGTTGCAAAACATATCATATCCCCCCACTTAATCCCTACTCCGGTAGGAATGCTGGTGCCGTCTAGGCTATTCCTCAGTGTGCAGTCTGCATTGTCTAATCATCTACTGACAGTGGCAAATTCTGTAGTACTCATAACACCCGTCCCAGCCGAATGCTCAACATTGACCGTAAGATCCCAACTCACACTAATGGCAATGTACATACAGTACTGTACAGTCTGGAAACAATTACAATGTGAGGGAGATTCACTCGCTCATGGCAGTCTCAATCTTGCGAATCACTCTCGCCGGATTGCCCACAGCTAAGTGAAAAGCAGGCACATCCTACGATCAGCTCGCGTCAGCATTGTTCGGCCTCATTCATTCTCATTAATTCCTTCCAAAACCCACCTTGTTGACCACACTGCCGGCTCCGATAACTGCCCCCTTCCCGATAGTCACTCCAGGCAAGACCGTCACGTTGCCTGCTAGCCAGCAGTCCTCTCCAATGTGGATTTCTTTTCCGATCTGAGGACCCTTGAAGCCATTCCGCTCAACTGGGTCTAACGGATGCGTGCCGCTGTACAAACTGACCCGAGGGCCAATCAACGTGCGCGCCCCGATTGTTATTGAACTGGTGTCGATGATGACTGCATCGAAGTTAATAAAGGCACCCTCCCCCACTTTCAAGTTGTGTCCATAGTCGATTCGAAAGGGAGGTTCAATCCAAGGGTAATGTTCTAGCTGGATATCATCGTCTAGAGGGTCCTCTTGAGGTGGAGGCAGAGGGGTCTGGTCGTTCAGAATGCTGGTGATATCAGCAAAGCTTGGATGACAGGCGATCGGATCGTGGTGGAGCTAGAGATAAGATATGCCTGGTAGCCCGTTGGTACTTACTCTTTCCAGAGCTCCAACATTTGCCTTCGAGAGACTTCGCCCGCATTATTGAAACGGCGACATGCACGTTGACACCGGGTCCGCGCAGCTACGAGTTCAGCGACGGACATAGAGTCAGACTGTTCTTGCTGCGTCGACTCAAGGCTATTGGAGAGACAATATGATTGCTTGCTGTCGCTCGTTGTTAGAGACGAGGCTTGCTCGTATCCTCTTTTTGCCTGCGTTGACTTGGGTGGACTTGGGGCAGGGAAGAAGGGTAGAGTGAGCATATGCCCAATGGGTGGCGATAGAGGCGCTCGGATCATTGAGATAGACATGGGTCTTTGTGTAATTGTGGATGGAGGCGAGATGCTCTGGAAATATTCTATGATTATGCCTTTTATGTTTGAAAGGGTGTCACATATATATCGATTTTCGCAAGAAAGGCGTCATAGGCTGACGCTAGCTGGATTCGATATCGTAGTGAGAAGGCCACTTTTATGACAGGCCATGCGATATATTATGCTCTGACCATGATGAAATAACACGCAGAGTGGCAGTTTCATAGGGTATGCTGAGTGTCATGATATAATTTTTAGTATCACTAAATGCGTAGACCTGGGGAAAATGATACCCCTTTCGGTGTATGGCAGTCCGCTTTGAGTCCAGTACATAGACAGTCTGATGGCATCTTGGAGATCGGTATCTGTACCTGATTCTTCTGGGACCGATCGTCTGTCAATATTGCTAGCTCAGCGATCCAGAGCTATGTACAAGAGCCTTTCAATCGCAGCCCTGCGTGCAGGGCCATGTGCATTATTGATGAGTATGATGTTTGGAGTGTTGATAAATCCAAGGTAGAACAGCCAGAGGGATATGCACATATCCCCATTGAGTAGCTTGAGAAGAAGCCCGCCTCAGACCGTGAGTGGCTACTCCGGCTCGCTTTATTGACTCCAAAGCTGCATTCCATTGACACACCAGCACGAGTAAATGTCCATGAGCGTTGAAGACAGCCTCGCGCTCGTGATGAAACCGCAAACAAAGGAAAGTTCTTGAAAGAGTTCGTGATTGAGTGCGAACTATAAGACCACCCTACAGCAACGGACCAGAGTTCCCGGCCAATCATCACCCGTGGAGGGCCACCTTATGTAAGACCAGCGGGCAACACCATGGAATCAGCGCGGCGCGGAGGTAGAGAGAGTCCCGATGGAGGGAAATGAAGCATCAACAACAACAATCTTTGTTGTTCCCCGCGCCCGCTGCGCTGCGATTGTTCTCGCTCGCTTTCAGCAATCCGCTCGTTCAACCAACAGTCTTTGTCGCATCATGCTCAGACACTAGCAAAACTATAACAAAACCCCCGCCTCACCCCCCTAAAGCAATGCATCACCGACATCACCACAACCACCACCACTAACTTAAACACCACACCCAACTTACAACAACAATAACAACCACCACCACCTAACCACCCCCCCCCCGCCCCCTAATCGACAAAATGAGCAGCACACCACCAGCGACCACGACCCCGGTCTCCCTCACAACGCCCCAATACCGCGCCTACCAACCCTCGCAGCCGTCGACCCCATCCGCATCCGCATCCGCACCCCCATCCGCACCCCCATCCGCACCCCCATCCACATCCCCCTCACCCTCACCACCAACACCGCCCCTCGACCCCTCCAACCTCCCCACGGGCACGAAATCCCTCTCGGGAATCTCCCTCCGCGCCTTCCTGCTCGGCACCACCCTAGGCCTCACCACAAGCCTAACCCTCTACCTGCTCCTCCTGACCACCACCCGACTCTGGCGCCTACCCTTCTTCCTCGCCAGCCTCAGCCTCTTCCACTTCCTGGAGTACTACACCACCGCAACCTACAACCCGCGCTTCGCCGACACCACCGCCTTCCTTCTGACCTCCAACGGCTGGGCTTACAACGTCGCGCACGGGTCCGCGCTCCTCGAATGCCTACTCTCCAACACCTTAGCCCCGGCGACCTACCACCAGGGCCAGCACCAGGGCCAGGTCCTGAACCTCTTGTCCCGAATGGGCATCTACACCTCCGAAAGCATGGAACCCTTCCATGCATACCGCCTCCGATTCCCGCTCGCCGTCGTCCTCGGCCTCACCCTCGTGGTCCTCGGCCAGACCATCCGCTCCGTCGCCATGGCCCAGGCCGGCAGCAGCTTCAACCACACGGTGCAGGTGGCCCGCCGCGACGACCACCGCCTGATCACCCACGGCGTCTACCGCGTGCTGCGCCACCCGTCCTACTTCGGCTTCTTCTGGTGGGGCATCGGCACCCAGCTCGTCCTGGGGAACGTCGCCTGTCTCGTCGGGTATGCCCTGGTCCTGTGGCGGTTCTTCCGGCTGCGCGTGAGGAGTATGTTCCTCCCCCTTATCCCTACATAACCCTTTCCTGTTGGGATTGGATTTTCTTTTGCTGGGTGTTGGGTCAGGCTAATTTGAGATCTTTTTGTGTCTAGGAGAGGAGAATTACCTCTGTGCCTTCTTCGGGGATCAGTATCGGGAGTATAGGAAGAGGAGTTGGGTGGGGATTCCGTTTGTTTGAATTCTGGGCGGCAAAACCTTTCTTGACGATCGGGGAAGGGTAATGGCTGTATATTGTGGGGATATGGGGATTTGGGGCATGGTAGATATGGGAGTCGGGGTGTTGATATCTGTCATTTGGTTATTGATTCCCCATTTCATTACTTTGAGGTTTAATACGTACTGTACATCCTAATCTACCAGAGATCTATTGTATCAACGAGACACGAGCTATGGCTCCCAATAAATATATTCACAGTTTATGTTCAACAGTCGCGTGAGTGGTATCAAATATCCCAAAGCAAAAGCAAAACCAACTCTAAACGCCCTTGCGCTCAAGCTCATTGCACAACAAACGTCCGCATGCATGCATCCATCTCCCTTCTGTATATACAATCCGTAAAGAACGCGGGCAGCTCAGAGCTTACTCTCCCTCGCAACACTTCCAAGGGCGCCACTCATCATGAACGCCCCTTCAGCCTCCGCCCCCGCCCCGGCCTCTCCCTCCACAGTCGCAGCAGTCACCGAGTCACTCAGATCGGCGGCCCCATAAAGCACCATCTCGCGCCCGCCCCACGTGCTCCACCACGCCACGCAGAAATGGGCGCGCTCCACGTCCATCTCGCCGTTGCTCAGGGCCTCCCAGAACCGCTCCACGCAGAGCTTGTGCATGTCCGGCGCGCGAATCGCAGTCAGCAGCTGCGCCGTGAGGGGAAGCCAGTCCTCCAGCTCGTCCACGTGCAGGAAACAGAGACTGTCGATCAGAGCCAGCGTGAGGGCCGCCTGCTCGGTCACGGGCGGCGGGGCGTTGAGCTCGGAACCCCCTTCGTCAGCGTCGCCTGGCGCCGGCTGCGGGAGAAGTTTGTCGGAGGTGGCGTGCAGGGCTCGGTCGTAGAGAACCTCCAAGAGGACAGACGGGAAAAGGGGCTGGCTGTTGGCGATCGGAGAAGGGGGTGCCGTGACTTGGATGACGGTTTTGAAGGCGAGGCGGAATTGACGGGCAGAGAGGTTGTCGGGGAATACCTATGAGCAGTTGGTTAATCGAGTGGTTTACTAGCAGCAGAGACGGAGTGGCTCACGGCAAAAAGATTGTCGATGTAGAAGGGTAGGTGTTTGGCTGCAATAGTTGCGTTGCCGGGGATGGCGAATACAGCTAACACCACACTGTGGGCAGCTTCGAAAATCTCGAGCAGATGGTTGTTGCCGCCTGCCGGAAGATACGGCGTGGCAGCAGCGATGAGCAGCTCCTCGCTGAACGTGGAAGACAAGACGGGAGTAAACAGCTCGGAAGTATTGAGGAAGAAGAGATCCAAGCATCTTTCCACCGGATGGGCAGGGATTTGACCCAGCTCACTGGGTTTGATGCTTCGAAGGAAGTTCTCGGTCAAGTCAGGGTATTGCGCAAGGATATCCACCGCAGTCAAGGTCACAAACACATGCTGCGATGAAGCATTCTGACCAATGCGAGACGAGATGAAATAGAGGTTGCGAAGTATGTGTAGAGCTTGCATGGACAGGAACGGCGCACCTAGTAGAGGTTAGTATTGCGATTCAGCACGAGATTCCAACCGAGTCACTCACTTTGATGAGCAGCCAGTATATGGTCATTGAGAACCCTTCCAAGAACAGCCCGAAGAACAATCACGATCGAATACAAGCAGTTGCGAAGCAGTTTCCAGAGCCCCGGAATTGTGCTCCTTAGCGACTCCGGATCCAGGAATTCCGCCTCTTCAGCCCGATCGACTTCCGACAGTTTGTTCTGACGCCACTGAACCATCAACGTCCGCACAAAGTCCGTGATTTGATCCATGGATCGTGCGACTAACCCTGGATCTTGAACATTCTCAACCGCGTGGGCAATGAGTCGGGACAGAGGGCCCAAGGCAGACACGAGCGGACTCGATGAAATTGCCGACACGCGAAGAAAGGTATCGGATTGTGGCGACCACTGAAACCGTTTCCCAGGCGCTTCAACAACATCCTTGTCAACGGTCCCAAGAAAGTACCCTCCTTCAAGGCCTTCCGGCGATGCGAACGTCGCATTGACCATAACTGGCAATAGGCGATCGTAGTCCAGCCTGCTTTTCTCGTAGTCGGATATGAGCTCGAAGGTATAGTTCAGCACCATGGTGATGCACCGACCATCAACCTCATTCTGGGGATCCAAATCCTCGAGAGCAAATTGAGCGGCCGTCACGAGAGCCGACTCAAGCTTCCTCCGGACCTGCGATGGCAGACCCTGTCTGTTTTGGCCTTCGAAGCCCAGTAGGATCCCGCCAATCAGAATAACATGTCGCCATCGCGGCGACTTGTCGTTCGCTCCGTTGACTACCGCCTTGACCCAATCTTCGCGCTCAATCTTCCGAGGCTTCATGTACGAGACTCTAATATCCTCCGATTCTTCATTTTGCAGAAGTGCAATGGCGGCAGTGTTGTAGACGCTGAGGATCTTTCGACATGCAAGAAGATCGACAGGACCATGCCACAAGGCCGGGGCGGCTAGCAGATTTGATGCAAGCAGGGTGATATTCAATGGGTTTCCAAGCACATATAAGAGGCTCGTTGCCGTCGGAAGCAAGCTGGCAGATAAGGCAGTCAGTGGATGTTATGAGGCCGTCGCCGGGTGCAGTCTGACGTACGCGAGGACATCATGCAAATCAGACGAGGTCTGAAGCGACCGAAGAAGAGCACCCAAGGAGCGCTCTGTTGCCATCTTGGGGGCTGGGAAGTATAGTTGTGTCCGACAAAAGGGACATGAGCTGCTGAAGAAGACGTCCTTTAGGAAGAGAGGGAGAGATAAGACGGAAGAGGGCCGCGGCGATGTTACCGCGGAGAACCCCAGATCACCTGCCGAGGTTAAAAGTGGGTATATTTCCATCGTCTATCGCAAACAGTGCAAACAAGCTTGCAGCAACTGCCAGCCACCATCGGCCGTTGCGGATCTTATCAGTTGCTCCCTCCTTCTCCTTTAACCCCATTCCAAGTGAATGCATTCTAACGTCTAGCTGGTATTATGGTTTTGTCATCTGATCACCAAGCTGTATAGTTTCTTTCAACCTGCGAAAACAAGGAAATCTGTCTTGTGGTCAGATGGCCAATAATCGTGTGCCGATCAACTACCAGACGCCGGCATTCCCCTCCCTCTATGAGCTACTACCGGCGAGCGAGTCCCGAGCTAATTACCTCTACTATACACGGGACATCTGGCGATTCACCTTCTATTGGACCTTTATCTTCTATGGAGGTAGTCATCTCTTAGTTGCAGCATGGGCAGTGGCAATGCAATGTCGAAGTTGGAAAGCTTGTCTAGCTGTGCCCGCATTCTACCTGGCCATTGGGGGCATAGAGGCGCTCCTGGCTGGGAGTATTGTTGGTCTAGTGTGAGTATATAAAGTCTATGCTCTCGCTGCTGAATATGCTTACTAAGAATGGAACAGTCTCGGCGCTGTCTACGAGGCAGGTAATTTCAGAATGTCCACATGGATCCCCCTTCTATGGGGTGGTATTAATGTCTTGGTCCTCATTCTATCAAGCTTCCCAATGCCAGGTGGTCTATGAAGAGAACAGATCAAGGGTCAAGATGCCTTCATGATGCTCATTCAAATACAGACATGCCCGGTTCCCTGCAGGCCATGGGTTCAAGGCATGCTATTTATGCCTAGTGATGTATCCGAGTCTCACCGGTCTCTCGAGGGCTACAGAAAAAAGCATTGGCGCAACATGTGTGTATATCACATGGCGAATTACCAACACACCAACACACTATGGCGCCAGACCTCCAGGACAACATCTATCAGTTCATGAGAACTATCTTCCGTACCCATTGTCGGGTGCACCGCCACCACCCAAGCCGGGTAGACCTCCAGGCATGCCGCCATGGTTCGGTGGAGGGAAATTTGGTAAAGGGATACCTTGGGACATAAGCTGCTTCTGAAGCTCCGCAAGATCGGCGTTTGATGGTGGAGGTCCCGACATAGCGGGGTGCATCGGGTAGCCGGGAAATCCGGTTGTTGGGGGGAAGTTGTTCGGCGGGGGCGGTGGCTGGGTAGATAGATATTGCGCCAGACGGCTAGGATCCATTGGAGGCATTGATGCAGGATAGCCAGGCTGCGGTAGAGGCTGAGGAACGCCAATTCCTGGCAACAATGAGCCGAAACCATCCGGCTGAGGCACACCGCCGGGCTGTGCCTGGATTCCTGGAAGGCCTTGGGGTCCAGAAGTTTTCTTCTGATCAACCAGACCCTCAGCCTCATCCTGCAGCTCTTGCTCCTCCTCCTCACGCATCTGTCGTCTCCCAAACCCGCGACTCCATGTCCCTTGCGCCTCTGCCGCCTCTTCGCCAATATGGAATCTGTCTTTCATGTAACTCGTTTCTCCTGGCCTAGCGCGAGACCAGAACCGGGTGAAATTATCCTTCGAGCCCGAGGCAAGAATGTGACCAAGAGGGTGCCAATCGAGTGACCAGATAGTAGCCCCATGTGCGTACTGTACCCGATGAGCGGGGTATATGACTTGTGCAGGTGTGTTGGCGGGGTCCGGACTGTCGTACGGAGCAATCGTAGGTATTTGGCCAGCTGGCAGATTAGGCTCGTCGAGTAGGTAATGATACAATGAACCGTCCTCGCTGCCCGTGGAGATGAGGGAACTGTGAACGGGATGCCATGTGAGAGAGGAAATTGGCTTTTCATGACCGCGCAAGATGCAAATATCGCGCATCATGCGCAAGTCAAAAACTCTTGCCGTCTGGTCACGCGACGAAGTGGCAAGCAGATTACTATTGACGCGCGAGAAGCGTGTCGTTGTGACCGTATTCTTGTGGCTATGAAGGGTTGTCAAGCATCTTGTCGTTCGAGGATCCCAGAACTTGACCTGGTGATCTTTGGAGCCGGAAACGAGCAGCCCCTTCGTGGGATGCCAGTCGCATGATTTCACATCCCAATTGTGCCCCGTCAAGACAGTGTCGCAAGTCCTTTGGGTGAAGTCGAAGATCTTGAGGGTGGTGTCGTCGGAAGCCGAAAGGAACTTGGTGTCGCTTGGAGACCACGCCAGATCTCGTACGGCGTCGTGGTGTGCATCATCAATCGTCTCGACGTTGTTGAAATTGGGCCGCCAATACTTCACATCGCCCTTCTGCCCACCCGAGATCAACCAGTCATGGCTGTGAGACCACGCCAGCGAAGTGACACCCGCTTGTAATTGGTCATAATGCGCCTGTACATCCCATCAGCAAATGTCGAACTTGCAGACTGCGTATAATCAGCAATCGGCGATACGCACGTCCATGACCGTTTCGAAGTTAAATGCAGTTCCGTTCCACAGCATGAATTCTCCGGTGTGCCCACCCGTCAACAGACGCCTTCCCTCGGGCGTCCATCTTACAACTGTGATCGGCTTCTTGGACTTTCCGATAGATTGGTGCAAGTGTCGGACGGGAATTGTGTCAGCGGGGTTGTGGATTCGTGCCAACGGTGGTAGCATCTAGAGACAAAGGAACCGCGAGCATATTAGTTGATTGAACTCAAACCTGCTGGACAATTGCGACTCACATCGATCACGTAGCTTGCACTGGGTCTTTCAACCTCCATGCGATGGCCTCCCTTGTACCGAGGCTGTCGTGTGCGCATCCATTGTACCAGTGAAGAGCCATAGTCGGTTACCAGTCCTAAAATTGGGCGGCGGTTAAGAAGGCCTTCGCGACGGGCAACGGATGAGAAAAACAAAACGTACTTGGTCGTCGCGGTCCCACAATGTTGCCTTCGTAGGATTTGGGAGGTCTTCCAAAGGGCTGGGAGTCTCCAGCAGAGTCATCGTAATAAGCCATTGCAAAGCAGTGGAGAGGTCGAGATAATCGGAGCTATGGATCGTTGGGGTGACAGTGTAAGGCAGGGAAACAGGATGACGGAAAGATGGGCGAGACAGTCGTCGCAAGCATGGAAGAAGGCCGAATACGAAGACGCGCAGGAAGCCAGACCTCAACCAAAGTGGCAAGATCCCAGCTAGAACTGTCCCAACATGTCGTGCATGCAGTAGCTTTAATTAATTGTTCGTAATAAAGAAGTAAAGAAGGAAAATTAGTGTTTGTCCTCCAGGCTGACTGGCTGGTTGGAGCAGTTGGGTGTTTGGAGGGAGTTGGACGGTGAATAATGAATGAACTAAACCTACTTTGGGGGAAGGGGCGGCGGCGCGGCAGAAAGCATCATTGGCCGGGGATAGGAAATAGAGGAGGGCAACTGGCCAGACTCCAGACGGGTACGAAGTAACTACTGTTACCTCCTACGTAGTAACTTAGTTAGTACTGTACCTTATGCTGCTGCTGCTGCCAACTACGCCGGCGGAGTACGTAGCTTTCTTGGAAACCCCCCGGTCTCCTTCCTAACTCTGTAGCCCCAAGGTTGCAGCACGTTGTCCTGTCAGATTAAGCAGCTAAAATAACGGTCTTTTTGCAACAAACTAAAAAAGCTGCTTTGATTAACCTGCTGGACCTAGAACTATTATTGAACCCCGCCGCGCTGCTTCGGGTCTTTCCAGTTTCCACAGAATTGGTCCCTTTCCTTCCCCCCCACCACTGCTCTATAATTAATCCCTATCTGCCCCCCTCTTCTCTCCATCGTCTCCTGTCATGATCTTTGAGTGTCTAAACCCAGGTGGGATCCCTCGTCCTGCGTCCCGCTTTGTATCTCCGCAATTGTCTTTGACCGTTACGAGTTCTTTGTCCGAGCGAACCACCTCCTGGGACACCCATCATTCAATCTCCAAGCTGGGATGCGAGCTTACTGGATGAGTTAGGGGTTTGAACTTCTCAACGCGATTTCATCTATGCATTCCGCCGAAGAGATCTCCGACGCTACAGGTGCTGTGAGTACCGGCAGTGACGACACTCTTTCGTCGTCCGCGACCACAAACCGAAAGACGTCTACGACTGGCGCAATTGGCGCAGAGGGCACAGCTGGTGTCAAGAAGGAGAAGAAGAGAAGCAAATATCGACATGTAGCAGCATATCACGCCGAAGTGCGTCATTCCAGTCTCACGCGCGAACCCAATGTGACGGCAAGTTTCCTCGGCTTCCGCAATTTGATGGTGATTGTCCTAGGTGAGATTGACCTGACTAGTCTTGCTAAACGCGCCGCTGGGAAAATGCTCATGTCTTCTCTTCGTCTTAGTGGCAATGAACCTTCGACTCATCATTGAGAACTTCATGAAGGTAAGACCCTCTGTCATGTGGAGGCAACTGAGATGCCGAGGCTAACGGCGCCGGGTAGTATGGCGTTCTTATCTGCATCAAATGTCATGACTACCGCAAACAGGACGTGGTTTTAGGATCGATCCTCTTTGCCCTCGTCCCGTATCACCTTTTCATCTCCTATCTCATTGAATTGACTGCGTCGAAGCAGGCCAAGCAGGTCGTTGGCCAGAGAAAGAAGAATGGTTCCGCGGAGGCAGCCGAGCGCGACCAGCGGACTTTCCGGCTTACCTGGTGGCTTTCTGCTTTCTTCCATTGCATTAACACTCTATTGAGTCTTGGGGTTACCAGTTTCGTCGTATACTTCTACATCCACCACCCTGGAATTGGCACGTTGTGTGAGCTGCAGGCCCTCATCGTCTCGTTCAAGATCTGCTCATATGCCTTCACCAATCGCGACTTGCGCGAGGCAATGCTCAACCCATCTATGGAGTCGGCACTCCCAGAGATCTACTCGTCCTGCCCGTATCCCCGCAACATCACTCTCGGAAATCTCATTTACTTCTGGTTGGCTCCAACCCTGGTTTACCAGCCCGTTTATCCGAGGTCATCACACATTCGATGGTCCTTTGTGGCGAAGCGCCTGTTCGAGTTCTTTTGCCTGACTGTATTCATCTGGCTTCTCTCCGCTCAATACGCGGCACCCGTTCTCCGGAATTCCATCGACAAGATCGCTGTGATGGATTTTGCGTCGATCCTGGAGCGAGTGATGAAATTATCCACAATCTCCCTTGTGATCTGGCTGGCTGGATTTTTCGCTGTGTTTCAGTCGCTGTTGAATGCGCTAGCCGAAGTCCTGCGCTTCGGTGACCGCGAATTCTATACCGACTGGTGGAACAGTTCCAGCCTCGGAGGGTACTGGCGATCATGGAATCGGCCTGTGTATCTTTTCATGAAGCGGCACGTTTTCTCGCCACTCGTCGGACGAGGGTGGAGTCCGCTCGCGGCGAGTACTGTTGTATTTCTGGTCTCCGCCATTCTCCACGAGATGCTGGTTGGGATTCCGACACACAATCTGATCGGTAAGCAAGACAATCTGCAGGTTTCGTTTCCATGGATTCTGATTAAACGCAGGAGTTGCCTTTGCGGGGATGATGTTCCAACTGCCGCTAATTGCGATCACGGCCCCGTTAGAAAAGATCAAGGACCCATCAGGCAGGGTGATAGGAAACTCGATCTTCTGGGTTAGTTTCTGCCTCGTGGGTCAACCTCTGGGGGCCCTGTTATATTTCTTTGCCTGGCAAGCGAAGTATGGCAGTGTGAGCAAAATGGGGGTGTAGATCGTTGTCTGATTTGTTTCGTCACCTTTCTTCAATACTTCAATGGCTTCAATGGCAGTAACCGGGCTAGAACTGGCTTTAGTGCCTCTGCAGTTTCCAATCAAAAGAATAATGCAAGGAGCAACAAAGCGACACGTCAACCATAGCTAGAAGAGAAACTCCTAGAAGCATCGTTACTGCTTACCGATCAGCAGGCAGCAGAAACGCGTAAGAAATGGGGGAGGAATTCCAGCACGGAACCCCGGCTGTGCGAGGGTCCGCAGGGAAAGCTTAAGATCCGTATCCGGCCGGATCCATACAAAACCACCGGAAATCTGCTGATGAAGCCACACGAGCAATATCACTAAACAATCTCACCATCTCCAACCAACCAATTTGCACTCCACCAAATCAAATCCACTTCTATACTTCCCCATCATGTTCACCTTGACTGTTCCTGAGGGCTACGGGTAAGTCACTTTTAATCGATGCAATCTTACCCCTGTATCGTAACCTGGACTAACGATTTCCCCCTCGGGGGTTACACAGCGCCGTCATCGCCGTCGCGCTGGGCGCCATCCCCGTCCTGGGGTTCGTCCACGGCATCGTCACGGGCAGCACCAGGAAGAAGGCCCAAATCCCCTACCCCCACACCTACGCGACCGTCGAACAATGCAAGGCTGATGTGAGTTTCCTTTCTCCCACCGCTCTCCCTCCACCCACCCAGGCATCGATTGACTGATAATGACCCCCCAAAAAAACACAGCCCAAAGCCGAGCAATTCAACTGCGCCCAGCGCGCGCACGCCAATTTCCTGGAGAACTCCTCCCAGACTATGCTCTTCACGCTGGTGGCCGGGCTGAAATACCCGCAGCTGGCGGCGGGCTTGGGCGCGGCGTGGGTGGTCTTGCGGGCGCTGTTCTTGCACGGATACGTGTACTCAGGCAAGTCGGAGGGTAAGGGTCGGTACAGGGGGGGTCTGTTCTGGTTGGTGCAGGGTGCGTTGTGGTGGTTGACGGTCTTTGGCGTGGCGAAGGAGTTGTTCTAGGGGTGCACGGGTGAGGTTGGTGAGAGTGTGGGGATGGGGATGGGCTGCTGGTCCTGTGTAGTCTAGTTAATGTTCGTAAGGGAATCTGTTAGGTTTGCATCTTTTATCTGAGCAATTTTGTTTGTTGGAGCTCTGGGTGAAGACTGAACGGTAGTAGTGGGGACTGGTTGTTGAGGGACTGGTGCTCATTGTGAGGGTTGTTGTAAGTGTACAAGTATCAGTTGCAATGGTAAGTAGGTTATGGTCAGTGGAAAGATATCTGGAGACTTGGCTCAGCATCTTGAGATACGAGGCTTGGAGCAGTGGCTGTCTGTATTCAAGCTCGGCGGAGAAGCTCTCAGGGCCGCAGCCTCGGCATTCGGCAGTGTGGCTGACCCCACGGTCGGAGGTGGAGCAATCTAGAAGCCGATGTGGCTGATGAAGGATGGAGGGGGAATCTTTGGGTATGATTTTATCGTCTATCGTGTTTTCTTCCGCAGGCCCTCTTTTCGTCAATACCCCGCCATTGAGCTCAATTACTTGACTGATATCATTATCGGAGGCCTCTTCACATACTGGTCAATCCCTCAATCTGCCCATTCCAGCAAAAAGCTCCACATCCCACCCCATCCGCTACCACCCCGCAAAACCCCCGCCATGTCGTCCAAGTCGCAATTGACCTACACTGCCCGTGCGAGCAAGCACACCAACCCTCTGGCCAAGCGCCTCTTCGAGATCGCCGAGGCCAAGAAGACCAATGTGACCGTCTCCGCTGACGTGACCACTACCAAGGAGCTCCTGGACCTCGCTGACCGTAGGCCCGCCGAAACCTCTTTCACTCCATGATAAGGAATTGACCCCCGAGATATGTACATAGGCCTGGGACCCTACATCGCCGTGATCAAGACGCACATCGACATCCTGTCGGACTTCAGCAACGAGACCATCGAGGGCCTCAAGGCGCTGTCCGAGAAGCACAACTTCCTGATCTTCGAGGACCGCAAGTTCATCGACATCGGCAACACCGTCCAGAAGCAGTACCACAAGGGCACCCTCCGGATCTCGGAGTGGGCCCACATCATCAACTGCAGCATCCTGCCCGGCGAGGGCATCGTGGAGGCCCTGGCCCAGACCGCCGCTGCCGAGGACTTCGAGTACGGCGCCGAGCGCGGCCTCCTGATCCTGGCCGAGATGACCTCCAAGGGATCCCTCGCCACGGGCCAGTACACCACCGCCTCGGTGGACTACGCGCGCAAATACCAGAAGTTCGTCATGGGGTTCGTGTCGACGCGGGCGCTAGGCGAGGTGCAGTCGGAGGCGAGCTCCGCCTCGGACGAGGAGGACTTTGTCGTGTTCACGACGGGCGTCAATATCTCCTCCAAGGGCGATAAGCTCGGCCAGCAGTACCAGACCCCCGCCTCTGCGATTGGTCGCGGAGCCGATTTCATCATCGCCGGTCGCGGGATCTATGCCGCGGCGGACCCGGTGCAGGCGGCGCAGCAGTACCAGAAGGAGGGCTGGGAGGCGTACCAGGCCCGTGTTGGCGGAAACTAAAATTGAGTGAGGGGTGGCTGTTTATTATAGACGATGTACAGGATTAGCAACATAATGCCATGTTACGACTAATTTGCTTTCAAGCATCCAAGCTCTCGGATAATGACGAGGGGGTTTCGATCCTGCAGGGAAGATAAGATCCCTTGAATCAGTCATCTTGCCTTTCAGGCCCATTCAGGCCATGTGTTTTGTGATTGATAACATGGGAGATGATAACCTAATCTAGACCGGACGAGATAAGACCTGAAATCCAGCCTCTACCTTACATGACTGTAGAGGCAGGCAGATGATGGGTCTGTGGATCTCCCAGCATATCTCAGCATATACTTTCCTCTGGCCAAGATTGTTATCTGCCAATGGATGGATGCAATATGGCCATGCTATTAATGTTGAGTTGGGGGAGGTTGCAAAGCGCCGGCCTCCAGATCTGGAATCCGATGCGGAACGAAGAGTGACAGTTCCGCGCTTGCAGGACGTTGTTGAGCGACTTTCCTTCCTTCTCCTCTCCTCGCCTCATGACGTCGCAAGATAAGCGACAGCACGATTCGTTCCTCTGCCATCCTCAGTCGAAAACAACCTAGGAGCATCATGTCCAGCCTCGAATCACTCGGCTAATCTCTCCAATGGACGAGTGGCAAGTCCTCTTCGACCTCAACATCCTCCTTCACCCCCCTCTCCTCTCTCGAACCTGTTTCCCCCTCATTCTTATCTGACTGGATGGCACTATCGTTTAGTACTCCAACTACTGCATGCAGCTAACGGGAATCCAACCCTCCTGATTCGGTCGATAAGCCGTCTACCCCAGATAAACCAGATAACAGCCAAACAACTAGCGTCTTATCTCCGACTATGGGACTATGGGACTATGAGCGCTCATGCAACCCCATCTCTTCCAAGCAAGCCAGTTGTGAATTCCATTGCCGATCCGGCTGCACCATGACTTTTCAGAGGACAGTCATAAAGCCCATCTGGTCGCTCTGGGTCAATCTCCGCTTGCCCCCTTGCCTCCTGTCTGTCACACCCGTCCTTCATCCCCACACTTCTATCCCCTTTGACGCATTCTTCTCTTTTCTCTCCTTGCTCCCTCGGTGTCATTAAACATGGGGGACGAGAAATCCCAGTCGCATACAATGGTCGATGAAGAGAAAGATACCACCAAGGCCGTGGATCCGGTCCTTCTCCAGCATGCGCAGGACGCAGACGAGGCGCTGGGCGTCTTCCAAGATCTCCAGGGGGAGGTGATCGAACTCGACGAGGCCACGAACAAGCGACTCTTGCGCAGAATCGATTGGCATATCATGCCGATCATGTGCTTTGTCTATGGCATGAACTTCCTCGACAGTGAGTGATTCCATGCGGTTCAATGCGGCAGCATGTATGTTGACATATTCTAGAAACAACCCTGTCCTACGCCAGTATCATGGGCATCAAGACCGACATCAACCTGCAAGGCGATGACTATCAATGGCTAGGCAGTCTATTCTACTTTGGTGCGTACTTTCATACGCGGCCATGTAGCAGGAAGACTAACAGTTCATCAATCAGGCTATCTGGCATGGGAATATCCGACAAATAGACTTCTGCAGAGACTTCCCTTGGGGAAGTACTCCGCCGTGTGCATCATCATATGGGGAGCTATCCTGTGTTGCTTTGCTGCAGTGTCGAACTTTTCCGGAGCTGTTGCCATTCGGTATGGAACCCTTGCCACTGTCTCATTCGACTCTTCTAACGTGCAATTAGCTTCTTTCTAGGCGTCTTCGAAGCCTCCGTCACCCCGGGCTTTGCTCTGCTAACCTCTCAGGTGAGTCGGCCCGAAGTACACCACACTACTTATTCCTATTCCAGCTCTAATATGGTTACATTGAGCAGTGGTACACTAAGTCCGAACAAGGCAGCCGCGTCAACATCTGGTTCAGCTTCAATGGGTTCGCACAGATTCTCGGCGGCTTCGTCGCCTACGGTATCGCCGTCGGCACCGAGAAACACGGCTCCGCTATTGCTCCCTGGAAGATTGTCTTCCTCGTGACGGGCCTCCTGACTGTCCTCCTTGGAGTCATCTTCTACTGGGTAGTCCCCGACAGCCAGCTTAACGCACGCTGGCTCACCAAGGAAGACCGCATTCTGGCCGTGGCCCGCGTTCGCGTCAACCAGCAAGGTATCGGAAACAAACATTTCAAGCTCCACCAAGTAAAGGAAGCCCTGATCGATCCGATGACGTGGGCGTTCTTCTTCTACGCTCTCATTGCAGATATCCCCAACGGCGGAATCACCAATTTCTTCAGTCAGCTGGTACGTTTCCATGCCCTGAACCTCTCAATCTGTCTCCACCACCACTAATCACGCAAGGGAATAGATAACCTCCTTCGGTTACACTGCTGAACAATCTCTCCTCTACGGCACGCCCGGCGGCGTCGTGGAGATCCTCTCCCTCATTGGCAGCGGCTTTCTGGGCCAATACACCAACCAACGCCTCCTCTGCAGTGCGGGCGGTCTCGTCTCCGGTATCCTCGGGATGATTCTCATCGTCGCCCTACCACTCTCCAACAACGTCGGCCGGCTGATCGGCTACTACCTGACCCAAGCCAGCGCCACCTCGTTTGTGGCCCTGCTGGCCATGATCTCCTCCAACGTCGCCGGCTACACCAAGAAGACAACCGTCGCGGCGATCTACCTGATCGGGTACTGTGCGGGCAATATCATCGGTATGTGTTTCTCCCGTGCCACACTATCTGTTTACCAGAGAAACCTACCAACCTCAAACTTGGCTCGATAACTAAACAACAACCAGGCCCGCAAGTCTTCCGCCCGCAAGACGCCCCCCGCTACGTCCCCGCCGAGATCACCATCATCGTCTGTTACGGGGTGTCAATGATGATCCTCGGACTGATCTGGTGGTGGTATCGCCGACAAAATGAGAAGAAGGCTCGCATCCGCTCGAGTCCGGAGTATATCCGGTTGGAGAACCAGGAGTAAGTCCCTCACTCTCGTCCACACCTTCCTTCCGTCCTCCCTTGCTATCACTCTGTTTCTTCCTTTGCATCTCAAGCTGACTTTTGGTGCCAGGTGGATGGACCTCACGGATTGGGAGAACCATGATCTTGTCTATGCTTTGTAATGAACAACTCTTTCAGGCCTGGAGCCTGTTGTTCTACTCCTTGTTATATACTTTCCCTGTGTAAGTCACAGGTTATCTAGGCTTTCATGATAATGGTATGATATGACGTAATTCTATGTGCTTATACCAAATGTGCTTCTGAGTATCCGCGGCGAAGTACAACTGCCCCCGTGCAGCTTACCAGGTTTTGTTGACAGCAAGCATAGTTCACTCAGTCTCAAGAAAAATATGGATCATCTTCACGGATCAAATTGAGGACCTTTTCTTGAAGTCAAATTCTCTCATACAGGCCATCTCCCATGACATGCGTCTCTCACTCATCGCAACCCATAACCCGACTTCGCATACACAGACAAGCTGCAAGCTGCAAGCTGCACAAACCTCGTCTCATAGGAATCCACAATCCTCGGTACACTGCAAACCAAGTCACAGGACTGCCCATACAAGATACAGACTCAAGGAAGGGTGTTCCCCGTAGACCATAGAACCTATCCTCCAGATAGGATATCACTTATCCCACAACTCCCCTGTCTCAGACAGTCACACAACAAGTACTCAGCCTGTCGAGTCACGGCTTTGCAGAGAAGTCTACCTCATTGCGGTTTGGCTTCTAAGGCAACTTGCACTCTCCCAACACCTTAGGCCTCACATCGAGATATGGGGTGTGAGAGACATGATTTTGTCTGGAACATGATGTCAGTACGCCATGGTTTATGCAATCGAATAGCAGAGGGTTTTCATTGGCTGACCATGGTATGTTGCAGTACTGAAGTAGAATATGTCACCGATAATGGTTTCATCGATGACCCAGGCCCGTCCCAGCCACCCAACCGAGGCCTGTAATAAAGGAAGTGCTGTTGAGGAGGAGATGTGGAGGAGGTGGAATGTAGGGTGTTCATGTGTGGGCAGTCGCTGTCGAAGAGGTTGCTGTCGAGGAGATTGCTGTCGACAAAGTGGCTGTGAGGTTGCTGTCACGAAAGATGCTGTCGTAAATAGTCGTTCTCGATGATTGTAGAAGCTAGTTGTATATGTCCCAGGCCCATCCCAGCCACCCAACCGAGGCCTGTGTTGAGAAATACGTTGGCGACAAGAAGGTTCTTGTCGATGAGATTGTTGTCGAAGAGGTTGATATCGAGATGGTTGTTGATGAGCAGATTCTGTCGTGTGAAGACCAGTCCCCACTGCTCATACTCGGCTAGTGTCGCAGCGCAAAGAGAACGTCGCCAATATTTATCATGACATGTTAGTTGGACTCAATTGCATCAAGGAGGATAGACGTCCTTAGCACACTTACTCTAAGAGGTGCTAGATGGTCGTTGTCCCAGGCCCGTCCCAACCACCCAACCGAGGCCTGTAGATCTCGTTGTCTTGTTGAGGTCGTCGTCAGTGCTGGTGGCGCGAGGTCGTTGCTGTGAGACCGGTGCCGTGAGGTCGGTGTCGTGAGGTCGGTGTCGTGAGGTCGGTGTCGTGAGGTCGGTGTCGTGAGGTTGGTGTCGCAAGGCCGTCGTCGAGGACCCAGGCCCGTCCCTGCCACCCAACCGAGGCCTTCGATATCGTTGCCTTGTTGTTGTCGTCGTTATCGAGGTGGTCGTAGTCGTCGTCGTTGTAGTCGTCATCGGTGTCGATGTCATGATGTCCATCTCGTTGTCATCGTCGTCGTCGTCGTCGTCGTCGTTTTCATCGTCGAGGTCATCGTCGAGGACCCAGGCCCGTCCCTACCACCCAACCGAGGCCTTCGATATCGTTGCCTTGTTGTTGTCGTCGTTATCGAGGTGGTCGTAGTCGTCGTCGTTGTAGTCGTCATCGGTGTCGATGTCATGATGTCCATCTCGTTGCCTTGTCGTCGTCGTCGTCGAGTTCGTCGATGCCGTGAGGTCGATATCGTCGAGGTCGTCGTCGTCAAGTAAATCGTGCTCGTGATCACCCCTACCACTATCCCAGGTCTGTCGCGAGAACAGCTGCTGCTCCGAAGTTGTCGTTTGAGCAGATGAATCTGGGATCCTTGCACCCAGACCCCATTCCATCATCCAATCACCCAACTTCTCCGAAAGAAACACGCCCATCCCCTTCAGACCCGTTCCCCGAAGCAATCAGTCAGCCCGTTCACATACGTACGTACATCAACAGAAGAAGGAAATGAGCCATGGGAGAACAGCGTGTATAAACAAGAAGCGAGAAAAGAAAACTATGTATCCTGTTCATCAACAGATGTCAGTCAACATCCACTAGACCGAGGCTGTTTCACTCACCCGTTCTCGAAGTGACAGCAGCGTCTACACCAGGAAACCTGGTGTGCAGGCCTCGTACGAGGCCACAAAAAGGTTACTTTATTTGTCACTTCTTGAACCCTAAAACATAAGTTAGTCAATAGTGTATGCTAATCCGTTGCCAGAGGGGACCACTCACTATCCTTCTATGGAAAAAAGAAGCAGAAAGGAAAGAAAGGAAAGACAAAGGGAAAAAGAAAAACAAAAGAAAAAAAGAACCAAACAGAATGAAGAAATGAAAAGCAGGATTAGTATAAAACATAGACTGTGAATCCACCGTCTATGTCCCAGGCCCATCCCAGCCACCCGCCGAGCCTAGGAAAAACAATAGGGGGAGGAAGTACGCCTGTATCGATCAGCCGAATGAGCCATGTCAATATGCAAACATTGGAAAGGTACTTACACCTTGACCCACGGGCACAGAATAGCATCGAGCTAACCTGATTCCATGAGTGAAACAAAAAATATATCCCAGGTCCGTCCCGACCACCCAACCGGGGCCTTTTACAATATACATACTACTGCAAGACAACTTGAAGTTAGCCAGGTTCAGTCAGGATAGTGAGCACTTACCAAGGGAGTGCAAAACTACATTTACATAACCCAGGCCCGTCCCGTCCGCCCGCCATGACCTGAGGTTGTCGCGTATGGGCTTTGTCGTGTCTCCGGCCCCAACCACCAACCATGGCCACAAGACAACTACGAAGTGGCGCATATGGGCTTTGTCGTATATCCCAGCCCATTCCCAACCACCCGGCCAAGGCTGTTCAGAAGATACTGTAAAGCAAAGTTAGCTCAGCATAGCCAGACAGAGGATCGGCACTCACCGAATCGACACAGAGCTACGCTACAGTGTCTTTGACCCAGACCCGTCCCAACCACCCAACCGAGGCCCGTATACGCTACTATAGACCACAGTTAGCTCAGCTTGTAACAAAGAGTGTCATGATCTTTCACCGAAGGGACACAGAGCTACGCTACAGTGTCCCGCCCTAGCCCGTCCCAGCCACCCAACCGAGGCCAAGGCAACTACTATAAAGTGAAGTTAGCTCAACTCAATGGAGAGGATGCAACCATCACTCACCGAATGGACACAGAGCTACGCTACAGTGTCCAAGACCCAGGCCCGTCCCATCCGCCCAACCAAGGCCCAGTCTACAACTACTATCAAGAAGTGTTAGCACAGTTTCATAAACTGGACAGAACAGTCACTCGCCGAATGGACGCCAGAGCTACGCTACAGTGTCCAAGACCCAGGCCCGTCCCATCCACCCAACCGAGGCCTGGTCAAACTACATCGACGAACCTCCATTAGTCAGTTTCTCGTTGCTATGGTGAGGTCACTCATCTGTTTGATCATGAAACTTGAACATCATCGACATCAGACCCTACACGCGTGTCTGATGCCCCAGGCCCGTCCCGTCCACCCGTCCAAGGACCTGTGCAAGCAAATTGTGTCTGCAAACCTTTGTCAGTCAAGTGCCAGTAGCTGCTAACACTCATAGAAGACTTACCAGTTTCTTTCGGAACTGCACTTAACAACGCCCAGCAGCCTAAGCTGCTAAGTGTTCCCAGGCCCGTCCCAGCCGCCCTACCATGGCCTGGGCAGACTGCATATGCACGGAACCATCAGTCGAGTGAATACTGTCAAAGAGGAAGGGGAACTTTCCTTGTCGAATATACATAGCAAGATTCAAACACCAGACGCCCGCGTGTCCGATGTCCCAGGCCCGTCCCGTCCACCCGTCCGAGGCCTGTTCAGACTACTGTGTCTGCAAACCTCTGTTAGTCAAGTACCAATAGTTGCTAGCAACCTCAGAAGACTTACCAGTTTCTTTCGAAACTGCACTTAACCACACCAGACACTCGCGTGTCCGATGTCCCAGGCCCGTCCCGTCCACCCAGCCAAGGCCTGTTCAGTCTATCGTGTCTACGTATATATAAAAGTCAGTCAGCTGCTCCATCTCAAGAAAGGATAGATGGCTTACCAGTTTCTTGCAAGCCTGCCCTCAAACGCCATACACGCGTGTCCGATGTCCCAGGCCCGTCCCGTCCACCCAGCCAAGGCGTGTGTAAGCAAGATGTGTCTGCATAATGAATGTTGTTAGCCGAGTGCACAATCTTGAGAGGAAGGACTTACCAGTCTCTTTCGAAACTGCACAAACACTAGACACTCACGTGTCCGATGTCCCAGGCCCGTCCCAGCCACCCAACCGGAGCCTAGGAAAGAAAATTAGATTCAACAGGTCAGACAAGATAGAAAAGATCAGACAAGATAGCAGAAAATGACAAGTAGATCAAATGAGATGATAGACACCAGGCAGCACAGCTGCCTGATGTCCCAGGCCCATCCCAGCCACCCAACCGAGGCCTAGGAAAGAAAATTAAGTCAAACAGATCAGACAAGATAGAAAAAGATCAGACAAGATGACAAAGATCAAACAAGATAGCAGAAAAGACAGAACGCCTAACTCCCAAAAATCAACCAAATGAGACAAGTGAAACAACCAAAAGAGATAAAACAGATAAAACAGATAGAGTAGATAGAATAGATAAGAAAGATGACAAGAAGATGCACATATGAAACCAGATACAAGGAGATACACGAAATAAGAAAAGAAACAACAAGATGAAGAAGGAAAGATAGTAAGGAAAAGAGACATATGAAACAACGAAATAAGACATATGAGATAAATGAAATTAGAAGACAGAAGATACAAGAAATGAAACCACAGGCAAGGAGATATAGAAGATAGGAAAGATAGAAGATACACAAAATGAAGAAGATAGTAAGAAAAGAGACATATGAAACGATCAAAGAAATAAGAAATAATCAAACAAATGAGACATATGAGACAAGAAAAGATAGGAAAGACAAATACAAGAAATGAAACTATCTAGAACGAAACACAAAATATAGGAAAGATATGCCAACGAGATGAGAAAGAGACACAAGGAGACAAGAAAAGATAGGAAAGACAGATGCAACAAATGAAACTATCTAGAAGAAATTACACAACCCAGAAAAGATAAGAATATGCCAACGAGATGAGACAGAGACACAAGGAGACAAGAAAAGATAGGAAGGACAAGATACACCAAATGAAACCTACATACAAGAAGATAGAAAGAAAAGACAGACACCAACAAATGAACACTACCTAGACACGATATGCATAAGATGGCAAGAAGATACACGAACTGTTAGGAGATGAGAGATGTGTAGGAGAGAAAGATTTCTCGAGCCTCGAGCGAGGGATCGCGCTGGTTTTGCTTCGATGCCAGGACTTGACGTCGTCGCGAACGCTGTCAGGATGTGTGCCTGAGAAGACCCAGGAAGCTGGAGGACGTAGAGTTTGACGTCAAACTTTCTCGCTGGATGGCCGGCTGCCATGGTAGGGTGTCGAGGGAGGGTGGAGGGGGGGAAAGCAGACAAGAGTGTTTGGGCCTTCGGCTTCGATAGATGGAGCCATCCGGTGTTACTCCTGCGAAGACGTCGCAAAGCTTGTTCAGTGTAAGGTTTGAGCGGATGCGAGCCGGCCGAGGGAGCGGGGGATGGGCAGTGCGATGCCAACGACGCTATCTGTCGACTGCGGTGGGAGTTCGACTGTGAATAGTAACCTGCAAGTTTGACCCACACTAAAGTTAGCAACATGGCAGAGAGTCGGGTGCAGCAAGCTTACCTTCGTCCAGAGAGAACCATACGCCTCACTTCCTCCCTCTCCCTCCCCCTCTCTCTCCCTCTCTCTCTCTCTCCCTCTCCTTGCCTCGTTCTCTCAGAGAATCAAATCGATCAACGCAGGGGCAGGGACCAAGAGAATCAGGAACTGCTAGCAGCACATGGAACCACGGGCTGGCACCCGCAGCGTCTCTACCAGGAATGTGGGGGATAAGCTTTTGCCCTGACAGAAACTCTAGGCATTCGGCCGTGAAGCTCTTCTCTCGGAATTATTCTCCCGTGCAAGCCCAATCCATCAATCAGGGGAGAGAATGCTGTCCTGCTGACAGGACCCCTTGATTGCCAACCATGGAAACTCGAAACTCATCAGCCAGCCCATGTAAAAATAGTACACTTTCAAGTCGCGGGAGTGGCTTGCAAGTCAATGCAGCTTGAGCAAAAGCTTAATTTCTGGGTTCTTAGCCTGCTACATACGAATACAAAAAAACGAAACGTCGGTTGCATCCCCACCCAGGCTCGAGTACCGTACAGTGTGGTAGAGTACAGTACATCCAGTATGCAACCTCGTCAAATCAGAATGGTGACTACTTTCCCAGCAACCAATAACCCCCCAGCCCAAGCACAGCCAACAGGATGGCCCACCGCATCAGCCCCCGGCGGATGTAGTACTCGGCGATGCGATCCGCCGCCTGGGCGTCGTTGATGCGGGGGAAGGGAACGTCGGGCACCTCCTTGCCCAGCGCGCGGCAGAGGGGCTCCCAGCCCTCGCGGACATCGAACAGCATGAGGCGATCGGGCGGCACGACCTCGCGCAGCCACTGCAGATGCAGCTGGTAGATCCAGGCGACGTCGCGCGAGCGATAGATGCGGTCCCACTGCGCCTGCAGCAGCCAGTTGTAGTCCATGAAGTGCCGCATCCCGGGGAGCGGGAGCAGCACGGCGCCCAGAAACCACAGGCGCACGATCGAGCTGACTTGCTGGATGCTCCGCACCCACGCGTCCGGGTCGCGCACCGTGCAGATGACTTTGCTGTCCGGGTAGAGCTCGAGGAGTTCGGGGACGAGCTGCGACGCGGGCGCATCGGTGATGGCGGCGTAGCCCGCGGTGCGGGTCTGGAGGAGGGCAAGCGTGGTAGCGTGGTCGCCCGACAGCCAGTTCTGGAGGATCCGCTTCCACGAGACGATCTCCGTGGGCGGGCCCATCAGCGTCTGGGTACCCCCGTGGTAGATGGGGCCGCCCAGAAGAATCTCCAGGGCGGCGCTGAAGGAGGCGGTTCCCGTGCGCGAGAGCCCGGCGCCGATGACCTGGATGTGTGTCCCGGGCTGGGGGACGGACGCTTGTTGGCCCATCGAGTACGTAGTTCGTAGAGAATATGGGAAGCTGGAGGAAAGGTTCAAGGCGAGGCTGGTCTGGAAGAGTTTGAGGGGGTGAGAACAATAATGGAAGGATGGTGAGAGGTTGCAAAGGCGTTTCAGCGGCAGTAACCATCGAAGGGTCACACAAGTTACGGAATACTTTCTTCTTGCTGGGGTCGCCCTAAGCGCCGACCTTGCACCGATTTCGAACCAGGGATTGACTTTTTATTCCTGTCCTGTACATCCAGCAGAATACTACTAACTGGGTACTACAGGCAGGAACCAACTTCCAGTCCAACCACGACGGGCTGTCTATCTCCGAGCACCTCGACCGGAGGCTTTCCTTCGGCCGCGCAAGCAAAGTTCTCAAGCTAGGAAGAGCTATAATTAAGATACAGGAATTTCTTGCTGTTTGCTTTCCTCGTGAGCGCGATAGAGCAAGAATCTAAGAATAGTCGTCCATGTGATCTTCTACTGCCAATGATGTGGATGCATCGACATTACGGCGAAAAAGTGACTGAGAGATGACATCGCTTGTTGTTCGCGCCTCGAAGACGTTGTACACCACTGAAGAGAATGTGTCGGTAGAGTTAGGCAGTGAGGGAGATATGCAAGATCTGGATGTAGGGACTTCAGTACGAATGATCTTTTGGGGCTAGAATCGGATACCTTTCTAGATAGAGAGACACAGGATCAAAATATACCCCATTGAACCAGCAACGAAGACGGCAACATGTGGCGCTCAGAGTCGGTCGAGCAGTCAACTACCAGCAGTAATTCTTGAGCATATTCCAATCATAAGCCAGATGAATTTGAGAGTCATGATACGCTAAGCCGAGCATGCCGCTGGCACGCAGCAAGAACTAGCACTTGATCACAAGTACGCAAATAGACAAGATCAGCGTTGAGAGCCTGCGCCTTGCATGACGATGTAGTCTCATCTTTATTCAAGAGTTATCCAGTAATGCAGAAATCAATACTTTTTGAGGGATAAAGGAAGGGGCGAAGATCAAAGTAGACGTAGTCTAGGCACACTCCTACAAGCTACAGATGGAGCAGCTACAGCTATCATGAATAACAAATACTTGCCTAGTCCTGACATCTACGTAACTACTCATCAAGCCTCACCAACCGTTCTGTAGCCCCATTCTCCCCCGAGTACAGGATTCGAGCAAATGATGACCCGTCCTCCTTATTAAAGAAACCCACCACCCCGTCCACACGGAGTGGACAACTCTCTCTCAGCGTTCTCAGCTCAGTCTTCATCCCTTGAAGCACCACTTGAGCCATCTGCTTCGAGTTGAAAAAGCCGCCACAATGCGGCCACGACAGTAGACTATCAATAGCCCACAAGCGGATCTCGTAGTCGGGACACTGAGCCAAGAAGAAAAAAACGGGGGTAAGACCAACTCCGAGGCTGATTAGCGGGCGGTCCCTTATCTGGTCCAATGTCGTTTTCAGCATTCGGTGCAGGTTCACGAAATCCTCCATGAGGGAATGCAAGGAGAGATCGTTGCTAAGCAAGAGGCTGCTCTTGACACCTACGATCTGTCCATGCGTGATGACTCTTAGCAGCTGCACACCCCGCCTCTCCTTCGTACCGAGGCGGGTAGATGGCTGCGCCACAAACGCCTCGAGCTGTTGCAGGAACCGATTTAAGCATGAAAGAATGCGTGTTGGGGAGAGCAAGCTGGCTTGGTAGGACTCTGCAGCCGGGATCTTTTGTCTTTGCTTCCAAAATATTACGTGAAAGCCGCAGCTAGCGTTGAATACGGGTCCGAATGCGCGCTGGGCCTCGTGGAAGGTGGTGAAGGTAGATAGATGGTCCTCATACGGCATCTCATGGATTATCTCGTGATCGCTCGTCAGGATTGGCCCACCCATCATGAAAAAGGACTGACTCTGAAGATGCAGATACGTCTCTAGGGTGGTCTGCTGTTCCCATGGCGAGTGCGCGCACCTTTGTGCTCTGAGTTCTCGGAGAATTCTCAGCCCACCTGCTAGATGCACACTCGCGGTTTCCGGGCGTGCACAGAGCAGTTCAGTCACGGTGAAAAGCAAGCAACAGATGAGGACCACCTGTCGCAGGGCCGGATCCTGCGAAGCACGGCGCTGGGTGAGCATAGAGAAGGATCTGAGGGACTGTTCCATTGCGAAACGCTCTAAAGTGCTATCAGACTTCTTTCCAGGCCTGGGCAAGCCATGCTTCTCCAGATTCTGATGGATTGAGCCCAGAGCCACGATCGCATGGTACACGGCCGGCTCATTGTAACTCATCTGGAGTACGAGTTTTTCCCATAGAGGGTTATCGACCGAGGCAATCAGATGAGAGACCGAACAATGTTGAAAGTACGAGAAACAGCGTATCTCATCTGTGGTGGTTGTGAAGCGAAAGCCGGTTGGAACCGGGGCAGGAATTCGAGAGACAGTTGCTGTCTTTCTACGCGGGGGTAGAGGCAGTCGTTGCACCTCGTATCCATCGCAGACTCGGCCTGTGGAGGTACAGCGCTGGCATGATCCGGGCGCTTCATCGCATTTGATCCGCCGCGCTCTGTTGACAATGCGTCAGCCGAGTGACAGCGGATAGTCAAATTACTTCTTGCATGTACTGTATAGTGACTCGGTGTGCATCACTTACCGACAGGTGCGACATCCGGTACGGGATCTTGGCTTAGAAGCACGCCGCCAAACAAGATTCTTATGAGACGAAGTAAGTGAGTCCTTAAAGGGGCCCGAGTCCATTGTAGTTGGTGGTGGTGCTTTTGGCGTTGTTGTTAAATTAATCGCGACCCGCACTAAATTAGCAGCGGCGGCTGGACGAGCCGATGGGGCGGGCCGTCAGGGGGGGAACAACGAACTGGACGGACTCAGTCTCCCTCTTTCTGTCTGGCTGCCTGGCCGAGGGAGACAATCTAACATCTCCCCTACTCCGCTGTGGAGCCTGTCGGTCCTCCATCCTCTTCCAAGTTCCATGATTCCCTCCCGTCTTCCTTGCGGCCCCATGCCAAGGAAATTGGCATCTTGGTTCCTGTGGTAGGTATCTGGGTCCTAGATTATCCTTGAAACTATGATGCTATGATGCTATGATTGCTGATCCGAATCCACTGTCACAGGCAGCGAGTCCCCCCTAATCCAGATACGGAAGATTCGCTAGTTCCTGAAATTTTCCCCCCTAGGAACATCATCCTCGCCTAACCACTAATACCAATGCCTACCTACCCAAAGACAGACTCGATCAAGTCCCGACTCGGATTCGAGCCAAAGCAAACAAACGCAGATTCTACCCTCCCAATCAAGGAACAACCCATCCACCGCTGTAGTCAATGAAAATACCTTACGAAGGGCCCCTAAGGATTGAAGATCACTGGCCAAAAGTAACCAATCTACAGTACATGTACATGCCCTCCCAGCCATTCTCTCCCTGAGCCCTGAACGAAGCACCGTCGAGAGAGGGACACCGACCCTGACTAGCTTCTTATTCCACGGTTACAGCGAGATGTCAGCAGCTCGACATTAGTGCTGGCGAGGAGGTCTACCGTTGAAAATGAAGAGAAGGAGAAGGACAGACTGTGAGCTGATCAATGAGTGGAGCAACGGTGGCATACTATACTCGCAACTCCTCGGAGTTTGTCAGGGAAATGGAAAGACCTTCTTTAACAACAAGAAACTGGCATGTTATTCGATATCAACGGCTCATCAGCCTGATGCCTTGCTCCGCTGAGCTAGCCCTTGGTCCCTGCGTAAAGACCATTGCACCCAATAGCTATTGCTCCATCACATCACGAGCTCCGCTCTCCACAAGAGTGTGATGACTCCTGACCCGTCAATGTGGGCATCAGCCCACAGCTAGCTGGCTATTCCAACCATGAGATCACCAGGTACACGGATTCTACAAGGTCAAACAGCCGATTCCAATTGGGGCTGGACTAATGCAACTCAGTGAAGCAATCCCCAGAATTAATTGTCCCATGAACACCCCACCTCATAAGATGCCACGGAAAACTCACAGCTCTGGGTATTGTTGCATTCGTCCATTGATGTGCATACTGCAATATTGCAATGATATCATTTCTGATGAGCTGGGTCAGTCATGAAAGGGTAGGCTCCTTGGTGCTGATTGGGTTGGGTATGCGCATCGCCAAGCCACGTGCCTGTACAATGTCCAAGAGCCAAGCACCACAGACCCAATCTGCTGGGGTTGCCTCGACTAGATAAAGTCTATCAGATTGACCTTGAACAACTTCATCGAAGTCAATGTGATGAGTCTACGAAAAAAGGGCCGATGCGGTAGGGAAAATCGATGAGTGGTTCTTGCTTCCAGACGGACTCACCTTCCGACATGTATCATCCGGTTGCAACTTCCACCACAACGACCCCAAACAATGAGGCATCAAATCAGACCCAGAAGCATGGAATCTGAGAGAGATGTTAGATGGCCTCATCCCAGCACCAGTCCACTCACCGCTATCTTCACCTTCTTGGCGGCGCGGTTTGAATGTCAGATTCTGGTCTTGAGGTTGATTCCCATCAAAGAGGCTATCCTTGTGACCAGTCAATTGGGGGCCGCATCCGGACAGACTATCAACCCCAAGCCAATATAGCGGGGTGCTTGAGAATGAACGGCAGAGAAATGCTCATCCAATAAACCCAATTGACCACCGGTATATAGCTGAGGGGGGGGGTCCTCGATGCCCCCTGATTCCAATTTCGGCTAATGGAACAAACGGGAAGCCTGACATCGGAAGATCATTAGCATTTCCAAGCCAGAATGGATTTATTTCTGTCGTTGCTTGCCTTTCTTTCCCCTTTGATTTTCGCCGCATCACCAGATTATTGTCCGCTTCTGGGACCCATCTTGCCGCCCCCGAGAGCACTCTCGACAAGCAGCGCATTCCTCGCCGCAAAGAACAACATCTCCTCGGCTCTCGAGGCAGCCATAGCAGGAACGTCCCCTCTCAATGACGTCTTTGACCCTAACACCACATCGTTTGCCATCCAAGTCTTTTCGACGAATGACGCGGAACCCCTTTTCGAATCCTACTATACCGCTCCAAATGTCAACACTTCTGTAGGAGTTAATGTAGTGAATGAGGATACCGTGTTTCGCATTGGTAGTGGCTCAAAAATATGGACAATCTTGTTGATGCTCATCGAACGAGGGGATATGGTGTTTCGCGATCCGGTGGCAAAGTATGTCCCAGAGATCCGAAGAATGAGCACCAATCCACCTGGGAATGAAATTGATTCAGTGCGCTGGAAGGAGGTGACAATCGGGCAGCTGGCAAGTCACCTAGCAGGGGTATCGCGAGACTGTGAGTGACTGTATTTGCACAGAACCATCGCTATTTTGCACACTCATACATGCACAGACGGGTTCGTTGATCTAGCCACATTGCTGCCTGATCCGAGTGCAATTGGCCTTCCTGAGCTTTCGGCAGCCGAGTTCCCCCCATGCGGTACGCCAGGCAGGCCTTGTGATCGAAAACGTGAGCCTTCCATCTACTCCAGATGGAAAATGCTGATAATTCTAGGATTTTTCGACGGCTTCTTGAAGAGACACCCCGTCGTTCCGACTGCGTCCACACCTGTCTACTCAAATGCAGCATTCCAGATACTGGGATACGCACTGGAAGCAATGACCGGTCAAAGCTACCAGACGCTCTTGTCTCGGGATCTCATTCGCCCGCTCAACCTCACCCGCTCCAGCTACAACAAGCCAGCGGACAGACTTGGAGTCATTCCCGGCGATGTAGAGACCACGTGGTGGACCTACTCACTCGGCGATGAGACACCGTTCGTGCATCTGCTCCATCACTAGACCGTGCTAACCGCCTGCAGTACCGGTGGCCTCTACTCGTCGACCAAGGACGTGGCCACCCTTGGCCGCGCCATTCTTGACAGCCGGCTACTTTCCAGCTCCCTCACTCGACGCTGGCTAAAGCCGGCTAGTCACACGTCCTCACTAGGCCTGGCCGTCGGGGCGCCTTGGGAGATCTACTCGTTTCCCTCCTCACGAGTGGTCGATCTCTACGCCAAAGCCGGAGATCTGGGATCGTACTCATCCATGCTTGCTTTGTCCCCAGACCACAAGGTCGGCTTCACCATACTGATAGCCGGCACAAACACACATTGGACGACTGCCTATCTGTCCGATCTCCTTGCAAACTCGCTTCTTCCCGCGCTCGACGAAGCGGCGAAAGAGGAGGCGATCCCGAGATTCGTGGGATCCTATTTTGCGAGGAACTCCTCATCCTCCTTGACCATCACCACGGATGACGGCCCTGGACTGAAGGTCGAAACATGGCTCAATGAGGGCAACGATATGTTTAACACACTTTCATTGCTTGTGGGCGCGTCTATTACGGATCTCAGCGTGCGGCTGTATCCGACCGAACTGAAGGCACCAGGGCGGGTGTCTTTCCGGGCGGTCTTTCGGGATTTGAGTTTGGGAGTCGATGGGATTGGTCCGTTCAGTCGAGCATGCGCGACCTGGTTCCTTGTGGACGCTTTTGTGTATGGAGCCGTTGGGCTCGACGAGTTTGTGTTTGATGTGGACAAACAGGGAAAGGCCGTTGCAGTCGAGGCGAGGGGGGTGAGGATGATCTTGAAAGAGGGAGAACTGGCTATGACGCCTCACATTAGTATACTGTACCTCGAAGAGGAAGCTGCCAGTCCACGTGTCTGCCGTTGAGACGCAGCATATGCAGGAGAACAATACTTCGACCTGTCCGTTATCGCTTATCAAAAGGAAAAGAGATTGAGCGTGCCAAGGTACTAGCCGCCCGAATTTCCGGGGTTTATCCGGGGTTGTACCACTGCGCGGTGGTTGAGAGAAATGTCATCATGTTGGCTGTTGCTGGGAAAACTGGCGATAGTAAGCGATCGATGTGGATTCTATAGTGCCGATTAGGTGTTTAGTTCGAAGTCAATCCATGGTTCTGCGTGAACTGACTCACGGACTCGGGCCAGGTGCCAGAACCATTCCCTAATCACGTCACGTCAGGCATCTAGACTTGGTCCAAGGAATGTCTCGCACCCCACGCACTGTGGAGGATGCAGTCATGTCGAGTCTGGGTGATGTCTACCATTCCACAACGGAATGTGAGACTGCAAGAGGATCGTGTTGACATGTCAGGAGAAGAAGCTTCATAAGGAAGGGTTCGAGACAACGCAGTCTCATGACAGACTATGTGCAGAAAACCATGAAGTGTGAATGAAGAGGGACGAAAGGTAACTGGCGGTGAGGCCTCGAGGACGGCAGCGGGACCGTGGGAGGGAAGATTGGCTGACAGCAAGCCAATTCCAAGTGGGGGCACACTAACCACCACTTAGTCTAAGGGTCAGGTCGAGATTCCTGAATAATAATACTGATCAGTGATCACTCAATGCAGGGGGGAAAGAAGAAAGAGGGGAGGGGGGATTTACAAAGCCCCGCAGTGGGCAAGAGAAAAAAGAAAAAAGAACCTGTGTTGGAAGGGGAAGAACAGGTTCAGTGGGTGAGTTATGGAGAACGTTCCCCTCCCAGACTACGTAGTACTACTCTTTATGTAGAAGAACAATCGACAAATCAACAATACTCAGTACGATCAATAATGATCATATCCCTCAAGTCTGGTGGTTCCTTGCCGCCGATCCATGCATCCCCCACTGGACTGCACTGCATCGAGTTAAGTACGGATACTCGAGGGGAAAATTGACGCTTCAATGCAACCCTGGCGGTTAAACTGGTTTGGGTTGCCGCTTGGAATGAATGCAGCCTGCGTTCGGGAGGGTAAAGGGAACTTGAGGAAAAAGGGCAAAAGGGCAAAATGGGGTCTAGAATAGATTAAAACCTAAGTACTACCACCTAACCCCCCTCCCCTTCCCAACACTACAGATTCTCAGGCATTTCCATTCTCGTTCTCGTTCTTGTTCTTGTTTCTTTAACCTCACGCTCAGTCTTTCATTATTGTTCTATTGTCAGTCTTTCATTTACCTTCAGAGGTTCTGAGTAGTGAAGGTACTTATCTAGTATACCAGTACATTCACAGGTCAGTCTGATTGACCCTTTCATTCTCTCTCTTCGTATTGATCGCCGGTCGACTGACTTGCCCCTCTCAGAACCTAATCGACCCTGACACCAGCTGATAACCGCCACACATACCAACTCGAGTACATCAACCAGCTGCCAAGATGATCCCTGCTTGTTAAAGTCCCACCCCCTCCTCTTCCTCGGGGCATGCGTGTGCATCGGCTGGGCCGTCATCCTCACGATTCAAAAAAAAATCACATGTCAACAGCCCCCAACTACTTTCTCACAAGGAAATCCCGCCTTCCCTCAAGACATGTCTATACCCTCACGCCCTGGCCCAGGCCCAGAGCGAACGTATATTTCACCCGGTGTGAACCCGCCAACGACTATCAAAGATTACCCGACACTGGAGGTCACCGAGATAAGCCTATCGCCGTGTATGGGTGCCCCTCATGCTTTGGAGGATAGCAGCATCATCGCCGCGCCCAAAAGAAGACGAACCCCGTCGCCATCGTCTCCTGCAGCCACAACCACAAGTACCAAAACCATAAGCTCATCATCGTCGTCGTCTTCTTCTTCGACATCCCGTCATCGCAAGAGCAGTCTCCACAGCCGCCACAGCAGCTCTCATTACTCGCAGCACCGTCGCACCGCCACCGCGGTCTCCATCACCCCGATCACCGACCAAACCACCCGCAGAGAGGATCTCCTAGCCCTGCATCGTGAATCCTGTCGACTATTCCAGCAGCAGCAGCAACAGAAACAACAACAATCGATACCCCCTTTGACCCCGCGCAATCAGCGCTCCCCCAGCACCAGCTCCAACGCGACGACCACCAGCAACACCAACACCAACGCAAGGGGCAGCGGCGGCGGCAGCGGTGGCGGTGATCATTCGCCGATCTCAATCCACGAAGTGCTCAAGACCCCCGTCCGCGCATCCACCCTCCCGGTATGGGACTATACCGATGAAGTCACGACGACGACGACAACACCCAAAACAACCGTGACCGTGATCGACTGGACCTCGCCGTCCACGCGCCGCCGGGAGTACGAGAAGATCGACAAGGCGAGCAGCGGGATGCGGGGATTCTGGCGGCGAGTGGCGCCGAAATGGTGTCAGTCGCGGGCTCGTCGGATGCCATTTTTCGAGGAGAAAGACGGGAAGGGAAATTACGAGGGGAGTGTGCGACGGTTCCGAATGGATATTCCGGAGTGATTGATTCCATCTAGCCTTTATTTTGTCGATATTTTGATACCCATAGATTGTCAATCGTTACTTTTTGCTTGGTTAATGCAAATCTTACATCACCTGGACTGCAGTACTGTAGCAACCTGTCTTGGGATTATGTTTTATACAGATAAGACTGACAGCAAGCATCAATCACCCCAACTTTTTATACGGAAAAAAAAATCATAACGCCAGAACACCATTCTTTCCTCAAGGGTATCATCACATCATCATCACAACAAATCGAAATCATCCACCTTATTCCTGTAGTTCATGATCGTGCGCTTGATCTTGCTGCTATCGACCCAGGTCACAAAGTCCTCCATGTTGCGGGTGATCAGGTACGCGGGGTCGGTGACGACCTCCGTTCCGACCCGAACGTGGCCTTGTTCGATGAATGTGTTGGCCTGCAGCAGATATTAGCACCAGTAGCAATCGGTTACCAACCAGCCCTATCCCCCCTATCCACCACCCCCCGCCGGGAAAAAGAAAAAAACCTACAGCAACAACATTCTCCACCATCCCAGAGCGGGCCATGAACACGCCCAACCGCCGCCGACAGAACGCCGACACCGTCACCTCGTGCTCGACTCGCGACAGCCCGGCGCCCTGCTCGCGGCTCTGCTTCAGGATCCCCATCCGCCACAGCTTGTCCAGCATGTCGGCCTCGAGCTTGCGGCGCACGGGGTCCGCCGGGTCCAGCTCGCTCAGCTTGTGCGCCAGCTGCCGCAGCGAGCCGCACAGGTTGTTGTACTTGCGGTAGTCGAGCGGGTCCTGCAGGTGGTAGCGCGTGCGGATCGTCGACTCGCGGTGGTTGTTGTCCGACTTGTACGTATGGAAGTCGACCTTGCGGAGGAGTTTTTTCTCGTGGTGCTTGAGGGCGCGGACCATGATTTCGTTCTGGTGGGGTTTTCTTCTCGGGGCTGTAAAGGTGTCTTCTCGGGAAGTTGAGGAGATAGGTGTACTTGTAGGTGTAGGTATACGTTGTTTGGTATTAGTTATTTAATAATGGTGGTGATGGGTTTCTGCGTGATGAGGAGAAAATTTGGGATGAGCGGTGGGGATATTGCCGGTTCAATTTGGGGGGGAGAGGGCTTGGCGGTGTGTTGGCGGTAAGACTTCAACTAACTATACGGGGCGGGCATCTCAATGTCAATTCTTTTATTCTTCTCTTTTGTATCGAAGACTTAGTTGGCTTTCTCAAATCTTATGGTCATCGACTCTTCAGTAGTGGTTACACATATTCATTTTCATCAAGTCGACTTCTACACTATGACACGGCCCCCCTCTACTTCTGCAGGGACACTATCAGCTTAACCATCACTGCTCCATTGGATTTCATCCATAATCAATCAAACAACTGAACCCAAACAGTCGTGTGACCTATACATCTATTTACGCCTCTGGTCAACCATCCATGCATCGACTATACACCGCATCAAAATTACAATGCACCCTAAACGCCCGGACTAATAGTCCTCAATCCCATGGCAAACCGCTTAATCTGCGCCGCATAGTAATTCTGAAAGCAAGTCGTCAGCACACTTCTCCCAAATCGTTCTTCCGGAAAACATCAAACCTACCGATTCCAACCCCGCGCCAACACCCTTGAACGGCAGCAAGCGCACCAACGCCGGCACCGGCACCCGGCCCAGCACCAACCGGGCCTTCTCCTCCTCCAGCCCGTCGTCCAGGAACAACCTGGGCAGATCCGGATCGATGGCCGCAGGACGCCCGAGCCCGATGATATCGCAGGCATTCTGCTGGACCGCCGCCTCGGCACCGGCGCGGGTCCGGAACCCACCGGTCAGCATCAGCACCAGATCGGGGAACCGTTGGCGGGTTTCGCGGGCGAAGTCGAGGAAGAACGCCTCGCGGGCGAGGGTGCGTTCGCTCTTGGGGGCAGCAGCAGCAGCGTCGAGGCCCATCATCTGCCCTCGCTTGTTAGTACGGTTCTCCGCGGAGGCGGAAACCTGGGGAGGTGGAAAATTGGGGAAAGGCAAGGCGCAACGAGAAAGACTGTGTCAAAAAAGACTCACCTCCGGATTCTCATAGCTTCCCCCGCTGATTTCCAAAAAGTCCACCCCGGCCTCCACCAGCAACTGGATCTGCATCATCGTCTCCTCGAAGGTACTCGAGCTGTGATCCGCCGAGTTTAGCTTGATGCCCACGGCGAACTCGCGGGGCACCACCTCGCGAACCGCACGGATGATGTCCAGCACGAATTTCGCGCGCTTCTCGGCGCTACCTCCGTACGCATCGGTGCGTTTGTTCGTCTGAAGAAGTCAGTCCACACTCCCTGGGTACCCTGCCCCTTGCCCGAAAGAAATGCCACCAACCTTCGCATTCAAGAATTGATCTAAACTCAACCAGTCAGCAAGCTCACCCACCAAATCCACGGTCCAAAGGGGCGGCGGGGGGGGGGGGGGGGGAGGCAAACCAATCAAATATCCATGCGCGCCGTGCAACTCAACACCGGAGAACCCACTATCGGCCATGACGCGCGCGGCGTCCACGAACTGGCGCACGACGCGGTCGATGTCCGTCTGGTCCATCTCGCGCGGCGCCGGGAACAGGAACCGGCTGATCCAGCGCGCGAGGAAGCCGTCGCCGCCCATTTGCAGGGGGATCGGGCTCGGGGCCAGGGTGGGCGCGAACATGCCGCGACGGCCGGCGAACCGCGCCGACTGGCGGCCCGGGTGGCACAGCTGGACGATGGCAGGGGTGCCGTGAAGCTGCTGGATGGCGGCGGCGTAGGAGGCCCAGCTCGCGAGGAGGGGCTGCATGGCGGGGTCGGTCTTGTCGGTGTATTCGCCCTGGAGGGCCGGGTCGAAGGGTTGGCCCATGTGGTCGATGTCAACTTGGACGTTGCCTGTATACGGGGTCAGAGATCAATTGTAGACGCTGGAGGGATGGAGAGTCAATCGCACCAGTAAGAATCGCCCCCCAACCGCCCTGCCCCCATCGCTCATACGCCTTCAACAAAGTCGGGGTGATCGTATTCTGCGAGCCAGCCAGCGACTCGGCGAGCGCTGCCTATCCACCCTCAGTCATCGTAAGCACTCCACAAAACCCAGACAGCCACAAGAAGGAAGGACTCTCGAACCTTCGCCAGCCGATTCGGCAGCACCAGGCCACACGGCAGTTTCACGGGCTCACTCAAAACCGACGGCATGTTGGCGATCAAAGCGGATGTCTATAGGTTTTCCAACACAAACCAACGCAAGAGGAAAGGAGAAAAGCCGCCGAAATATACGGAGGCAAAATATTCGGAACCGAGGCACACGGACGGGCAGGTGGAGACACCGGACTAACAAAAGCCAAGATTTGGCTTGCAGAATGCTTAGGCTTAAGCTTATGCTTCGGCTTATGCTTATCAAGCAGAACTGAAAATTGATTAGTAGTTATGTGGGTAATCAATCATGCCACGAGGTGTATACCGGAAGAAGGAAAGATGACGAACCCTGGAAGATAAGTTCTTTGTGGGGGAGTTAGATTATGGATCCATTGGTGCCCCGTTCACGACCTTCTTCGTGCGCTAGAAGGTACGATTCTCCGGTGTACAGGACAGGCCTCGACACGAAGAGTGTATCTATTGCGTACAGATTCTCTAAGTATTTTGTGACTACTGATTGATGGAGCACTACAGATGCTAGACAGAGTACAGTACAGTACTGTCCAAATTGTTGCAGATACCCAGAAAATCGGGCTGCGCCGTCAACCCTAACCCCAACCAACGCAACAAGTAGACAGTAGAATTCAACACATACAGTCCATAAAGTACACTGTAGCCTGCACGTAAATACCATTATCCCACCCGCCCACCAAACAAACGAACACCATTCCAATCTCCCACCAGTCCAATCCACAACCCGTTCACCGAACAACGCACCCCTCAAGGCGTGAGTGAAACTAAACTAAATTCAACCATCTCGGACAACCGGAGAACTCTCCCCCGGAGCAGACTTAGCCGAAGACCACCACGTCCTGTACACCGGGCCATTTCCTCCCGAGCCCAAGTCACCCAGTCACCCAGCCCAGTACGTCCTGTACATATCCCGACGGTCATTTCTCCTCACCGCAGAAACAACTAAGTTACAACGCAACATCTTCCACTTCCAGTCACCACTATGACGGACCAATGATCTCCTCGGCATCGAGATCCCGAGGTCCACTATCCCTGAGCTGTCAGGCAGGAGCGTGGACCACGACTCCACGAGACTAGCCCCGGGGAGGGTGCACCCTGCAGCCATCAGAGGAAAAGTTTATTTGAAGGTGGCAGGGCTGAAAAGAACCAGAAGAGGTGGTCATCTGGTCCGGTCTAGATGAATCTGGATTCTTTGCCACGAGACCCTACTGGCAGCTGGGCCTGCTGGCCAGGATTGAATGAGGTCACGGGTGGATGTGCGCTGCTGCATGGCTTTTCCCCGCATCTCCATTTTCACGTGTGCAGTTGTACAATACAAGCCGTCGTGGCCACGATCATGCTGCGGGGTACAAAGCTGAGGATAACTAATCAAACCCCTCGCACCATGAGTCAAGAGGTTCCTCCCTCGGATGAGGCGATACGATCGCGAGTGTGACTACGGTGCATCACATGGGAGCTTTGAGCAAAATAATCAAGCCGAGGTTCGAGAGACGCCTGTTCTGGAATACTCCTTCCGATCTTGTGAAAAATGTATGGACAGTCTGGAACATTGTGCAGTCATGAATTTTACCCAACCCGAAAACCCACTCACAGTATCTAAGCTAACCAATCCGAGTCCGAAGTCGGTAAGATCCAACACAAATTCGTCATTAAATGGGGCATGGAAGCGGTGCAAGAAGGGGGTATACAAGAAGAATGCATCCATCCAGCTAGTGGATGACATGTGAGAAAAAAAAAAGAATCGCTCCAAAGTCAAGCAACCTGGTCAATCCAGGGATGCACAAGATGAAAAGACAAACAAGGAAAAGCCATTTACAGCTTAGCATTCTTTTCAGCCTCCTCGCTCAGGCCAGGCAGAGACAAGGCGCTTCCACCCAGGCTGGACAGAATGGCGCCAACTTCCCGCTCCAAAGACAGAACTTCCGTGTGGGCATCGTACATACGGGCCTTGATCCAGGCATCCAGAGTGGCATCATCCATGTTGCGCAGGGCAGTCTCGCGGTCGACCTTGGCTTCCTGGGCCGCACGGATCACATTGCGCGCCACAACAACGCTAACCTGGCGGATGCGGGTCAAGTCGGGGTAGAGGAGACCATTGTCGATCTCCTCGGCCGTCAGAGCCTTGGAGAGAGCCTCACCCGAGGCATAGATCATGGAGTCGGTGACCTTGACCGCCTTGGAGAGGATAGTACCCAGACCGATACCAGGGAAGACATACATGTTGTTACCCTGGCCGGGGTAGTAGGTGCGAGTCTCACCGGCGGAGTTGGTGAAGCTCATCGGCTGGAAGGGAGAGCCAGACGCAAAAAGCACCCGGCCATCGGTGTTGGTGATAGCAGTCTCGAAGTCACACTCAGACTTGGAGGAGGGGTTGGACAGAGGGAAGACAATGGGGCTCTTGTTCCAGTCGGCCATCTTGCGGAGAATCTCAGGGGTGAAGACACCGCCCATGGTGGAAAGACCCATCAGGATAGTGGGCTTCACGTGGTCAACAACCTGCTCAAGGGTCTTCAGCTGCAGACCGTCGTTGTCGGTCCGAGCAAAGTAGACCTTGTGGTCAGCGAGCTTGTCACCGCGATCAGCAGTCACGAGACCCTTGGTGTCAACCAGGTAGAAGCAGGCGCGGGCCTCATCTTCGGTCATGCCTTCACGGACGAAGAAGTCGACGATCTGCTTGGCAACACCGACACCAGCACTGCCAGCACCGAAGAAGACAGCACGGTGTTCCTTGCAGGGAAGGCCGGAGCGCTTGACGGCATTGATCACACCACCGAGGATGACAGCTCCAGTACCCTGGATGTCGTCATTGAAGCACGTGTAAACGTCGCGGTAACGCTCCAGAGCGGGGAAGGGGTTCTTGAAGTCCTCGAACTGGATGACAATACTAATGGCAGTTCATGTTAGCGTCGCTCTTCCGTATCAGCCAGACGGAATGACTTACCCAGGCCAGCGCTCGGTCAGAGCAGTCATCAACTCGTCCATGAACTCACGCTCCTCATCGGGGGTGACCTTATCACGTCGACTACCCATGTACAACGGATCTTCCCGGAGAGCCTTGTTGCTGGTGCCCAGATCCAGAGTCAAGGGGAGAGTAGCCTCGGGACGAATACCGGCACATGCGGTGTACAGCGCCAATTTACCAATGGGGATACCCATTCCGTTGATGCCAAGGTCGCCGAGACCAAGGATGCGGGAACCATCGGTGATGACAGTGATCTCGACGTTGGGCTGGGGCCAATTGGCGATGACAGCAGCCAAGTTGCCCCGGTCCTCGTAGCTCAGGTACATGCCTGCGGGGTGCATCGTTAGCGCCCGGTTTCACGTCGTGGACAGGGATCCAGGGATGACTCACCTTCCGGCTGTTGGTAGATCTCAGACCATCTTTGGCAAGCTTCTCCAACGACAGGGGTGTAAATGAGGGGAGTCAATTCCTAAAAGCATGTGAGTCAACGGGTTGTTTTCGTCCACAACGTCGCTTTCCGAGCTTACCTTGAGGTGATCCGTGACCAGACGGTAGAACAGGTGGACATTATTCTTGCGGAGAGTGCTGAGGTAAAGGAATTTGTCGATAACAGTTTGCTTCAGAGCCAATTGAGCCAGGCCTGCGAGCCTGTTAGCGATGTCGCGCGACCAGAGGCCGAGTTGCACATACAGCGAGTCTTCTGAGTCTCGTATGACTCCGCACGCGGGGGCGTCAAGCCATAGGTGCGGAGATATTTGCGGATGTAGGCAGGGTTGGCGGTGTCGAAGTTAGACGACTCGCTAATTGAGGCCATGGTTAGTCCACTGCTCTGCTCGATTTGTGTGCTCCCGTTTTGCTGCTGCTGCTGCTGCTGCTGCTTCTTCTTCATTGTTGCACGATCGATGGAGATAGGCCTATCTGCCAGGTGTCATGGAGTTGTCACCAGAAAGATTTTACTTACGCGGGAGCGGGATGGCTGACGAAGGAAGTCGCGTGGACGGGTCGGCTTTGTGCGGGAAAGCGAGCCATGGTGGACGGCTGTGAAGTGGCGAGAGTAGTTTTCAAACGAATACCAACCGGCGAGGTCACAATGCGAGAGGAGGAAGAAGAGGAGGAGGAGGAAGAAGAGGAAACGGAGATGGATGAGGATGACCGAGTCAATCGAATTGAGGAAGCGACAGGCCGTCTGGCTTTAAGTCCTTGAGGCACTAAACGCATTGAGCGCCCCTGAGTCAAAATCCACCGCATTCCGAAGTTCAACCACAGCAGGTCAGTCAGCGCGCACGGTAGTTGTGATCTTCTGACGAGGCCGTCGCCAGAACTATGAACCAGGACCAGGGGATATTGTTTTAGGGATGACAGCGATCGGGAAGAATCGGGAGGCAAAGGGCCAGTAAGGGCGACCGGGACCGGTCCGGTGGGTATCGGGTCACGTTGGGTGCATGGCAGCGAACCGTTTCGATCGGGTGGAAAGATGGGGCCTGGCTCCGGTCGAAAATGGAGATAAAATGGGTGTAATGGATCAAATTGGGGGATACGAAGCTTTGGGGAGCGTCGGGTGCGAAGAGGATTGGGTAGAGACAGCGTGGAAGTCCGGGTATGGAGAAAGGTTTCAAGCTTGGAACGGGAGCCTTCGCCGAATGCAGCGCAAATGCGGAGTAAATGCAGGCGAATAAACGTGTCCAGATTGGAAAGGAGAAAATGGAGCTGAGACTGTCAACTGAAAAATATGCGGTATTTCTTCGACACCAGGACAACGACTACGTTGTAGGACAGAGTACGGGAGTAAAGCTCTACACAGTACTCCGTATGCACTTCGTATGCACCGTGGTGGAGGATTCCATTGATTGTTGGGAATTGCAGATGGCAGGGAGTTGATAGGTAGCAGACTGAAGTATACGATGTACTTGTCAGTCTGTCGAAGCGAGGTTTGTTGTTCGCCAACAATAGACTCCGGACTCCGTGACAAACAGAGTTGAGTTACAGTACTCGTATCGAATCCTGCATGGATTGTTGATGATCATTCTTGAGGATATTCTCGCATTTTCACCACAATTGAGGTGGATAAAAAGTGAATAGGTGGTGAATAGATGGATGAATACCTAGCTAGGTACGTAGCTACTTGACTGTACATAGACCATCTCGGTCCAATCCCGATATACCTTTCCCGATCCTTTTTTTTCTGCTTCTCATTTTTCCTTTCTCTTTTCTTTTCGTTTTTTCCTCGTTTTTTTTTTTCTGCCTCTGATGTCTCCACATCGGGAAAACTAAACCAAAAGCAGCAATAGACCCAAAAGGGTCCCGAAGTGGATCTCCACCACCAACTCATGTGGCAGAATTTCAGGCTCCCCAAACATCAAACAGTCCAACAGTCACCATGACACAAAACCCAAGCTAAACTGCCTGAGGAAGGATTCTGGACCGGATGCGAATCTCTGGATTCCCCGCAGCAAACGCGGCCCGGGTTTCTCCTCATCACTGCGCACTGAGATTTGCTCTCTGGTTTTCTCTCCTCATCTGGCTGCAGGTACCGACACACACACACACACACACACACACACACACACAAAATGAGCACAACAGCTCGGCAGTCAAACTTCCACTAAAACACCTGTCATCAGGAACTGCAGACAATAGGTATGTAACTCGTACGGAGTTGTCTACTGGCACATCCAATTCTGCATGCAGGCTTTACAATTGGGCACACGAACAAGGGGAACGCATCAATATCGACGAGCAGAATGCGCGAATAAATTTGTGTGTTTGCGTGTTGCCCCCCTCCCCCCTCCCCCAAATTCTTCTCCAACTATACTATACTGAGTAATGACCAAATATAATGAGTAATACTCCAAATTCCACACATGGGCTGTCCAATGGCATTCACCAGCCGCAGACTCAGTTGTTTGCCGCGCCGATCGGTCCCGACCGATGGAAATATCCGATGCAGTAAGCAGCAGCTGAGTCAGCCCGTCTCCAAAATAGCAAAGTCTCGGGTGAGATGTGGCCATTTTAGGCTCGGATGGCTTGGCCTACACCAGTTAGACTTGACTCGGTCCTGCAAAAGTCCCTCCTTTGAGTCCTTTCACACTACAATCATACTATAATCGCACTAGAATTAATCTTAACACGCTTGAACCGTGCTGCTTCCGATGGAATCCATTGTTCGTGGCAGGCAGTAGCCACAGTCCAGGTCGAGCCTCGTTCTTATTATAAATCTGAAGGAGATTGCGTCTTGGGCGACGATAAAGATTCGGGTTGTGCGACGGTCCATCGACTCCATCGACTCCATCAGGATCCCATCATGGATCAAAAAGTTCAACCCAGCTTCGCGCGGCATTTGCTCTCGTCACCGCCTACCCTGCTCGAGCTATTGGCGGCTTAGCCGATGGAGACGCCTGCAGATCTAAAACCCTGGTCTCTTTTCTATGGGAAGCTCAGTGTAGGGCGAAGTTATTCAGGAGCTAGTGAGTGGGCAACGGGTTACTCCGTCGACCTTCATTCCCAACGCTCGGGGTGAAAAATCACCTGTCCCCTCACTTTTCAAGGTTCAAACTTCAGGCTGAATGTGTAGGCGAGATGGACAAAGCACATCCCTAGGTTCCCTCTCCACGCCATGTTGCAGATAGCTATCCCTACCGCAACCGGGTTTACCCACTTGAGCAGGTCGTCGTCGTCTCCCCTTCCTTCGCCCTTTCCCCCCCCCCGGATTCAAGATGCATGGGTCACAAAGCTTGATCACTGCTGATCATTCGTTTCTTCGCCCTGTATTGGATTTCTCATGGGAGGAAAATTCCTTCGTGCGGTTCCAATATATACCTCATATGAGAGGTCTTTCAGGAACCCAGTAACTCAGCAAGATTCGATTTGCATCACGGATTCCCGACTGGTAACCTATCTGTCCATCATCACTCTTCGGCTTGTTTTGTGGAACCAGCCAGGGAATCTGCAAGTATGCGGCAGCTCGTAAGGTAGCTAACTAAACATACTGCTCGCCCACTCTCCCACCTCAGTGAAAAATAAATCGCTCATTGCGTTGTTGTTATTGTTTTCTGATCGGCCTCTGGTATGCGCGACGCGATGACGGAGGTGTACAGCTTGGTTGTGGTGGCTGTCACCTTGAACCCCTACCCTGTATGCGGTGCTTCGTACAGCACTGTACGGAGTACACCTGACGATCTGCCTTGCAGCGCTGCACGGACAGGACCCCGTCATTCCATGGTTTCCCTACTGATCTTTCCTCGGGTGGCTCTCTCGTACCCTGTAAACTCCTGTGACAGAGAGGGATTTATTTCCTGGCTTGCGGACAAGTGACGGCAGGGGTTTCCTTTGCTTGTTTACGTGATGTGCTCTCCGTCGTGTTGTCTCGAGTTCAGTCTGTGTTTATAATTTAGGCAAATGGGAACAAACTCGCAGTGGTGTTCAGGGTGAATTTCTCGGACGGGATGGTAGCTCGACCACAACCAAGCGGGGTGGCCATTGCAGAGTATCTCTCAGTCAGCTGACTGCTGAGATGAGTGGATTGTGCCATGATACTGACCTTCAGGGCTGTCAAGAACCATGGGATTAACTCTTCCGATCAAGGATTTGAGATGAACCACCCCAGAAAACCGCCTTATCGATAAGAGAGATAAGATACCGACTGACAGGTCACGTGGCTTGCTGATAAAGCGGCGAGGAAAGGGCGCGGTGACGCAAGAGTGATTGGACCACCAGCCCGTGATCGATGATGATTCCATGCAACAGGAATCAGCCAACCCTGGAGCTGCTGCCATCGCTTCCCCTCTTTCCCTACAACTCCCTCCGTTTCATCATCCCTTGAATCAGGGACTCTGCGGTGGTATCGAACATCCATCTCCCCACCTCCCTCTTTCCCTCTCTACAAGCAAGTAGATCTACTCTTCGTGTTTGCTGAACCCATCGCAACCATGCCGCAAGGGGAGACCGAGCCCCTCCTCCCTCGCTATGAGGAGGACACAACCCTCCAGCGTCGCCTGCATCAGAAATTACACACCTACCAGATGATCCGGGCACTCTCGGATGGTTACCTGCCTTCTACGGAACAGGTGATTGTCAATCTCCGCACCCTGCTGGCTTCGGATGTGCTCTCCGCCCAGACTCACTATGTGGGCTCCGTGGGTCGTCAGATCATCCGCGATTGTCGCCTGTGGATTCAGGTCTTCATCGAATTCCTGAAGGAGAAGAACGAGGATGACAAGCTGCAGGAATTTCTGTGGCGTCTGGCGCGATCTCGCGCCTCGATTGACCCTAACAAGATCCAGCAGCAGGCCCGCCAGAGCAGGGCGAGAGCCGATACCAAAGCAGGTCAGTACACATCTCACTTTTTTTTCTTTTTCTACGCCATGGACGTTTTCCGTAGAGTCAAGATGGGAGCTAACTCTACGGCCGCAGCATACGACAGTCTACGTACCGTGGGAAGCCTCCTGCTGACAAACTCCGATTTCCGTCTCTTCGTGGATGATTTGACCACTGTTGGACGGCAGATCTTTTCCGACACGGCCTTTTCCTTGTCCAGCACATCTCAGCAGATTGGCGAGCAGCTGAAACCGTCCGAGGAGGAGGCCAAAGCGGTGCAGGGTGCAGGTGCAGATGAAGGCCATACTCCAACGGGTGAGGACCTGCGACACGAAGCGACTGAGGTGGCTGAGATTGCCGGGAATGGCCTGGCTCGCACCGGCAAAGATGCGGTCAGTAGTGCAAAGGAGCACCTAGCCGGCCGTGAGAAAGAGGCTCTGCTGTACCGACTGAAGCGGACCGTCCTCAAGCTCAAGGATCGTACGGACTACTCGGACTCGATCTCAACCCTGGGCCAGCTGGTTCGTCGGTATGCTCAAGCCTACGTGAACGCTGCGTCGGATGTAGTGACGGCGGCGGAAGAAGATGTCGACGTCAATGCAGACCTCAAGCAGGCGATGCAGCACTTTTGGATCTTGTTGCAATCGTTCGGTGATGCCGAAGAATGGAAGGCCCTGGAGAAGCGCTTTGAGACGGTGTTGCAGCATGCAAACTCCGACCCTGAGTTTGAGAAGTTCCTCTCGGAAACCGGCTCCGTCGTCCAGGAGATGCTGACTGATCCTAACTTCTTTGACAATGCGGAGGAGAAATTCGATGAGCTCAAGGAAAAGTCTAAGGAGGTCAAGACTGAATCGCGGTTCAGGCAGGACGTCGATGCTTTTCTGGTCCAGGCCAAGCGAGCTCTGCGGACGGTGCCCAGCGACAAAGCAGTGTCCAATCTAACCAATGCAACCCAGAAGCTGTACAAGGATATTTGGGAGGCCTATCATAGCCGCGAGAGTCAGCTGCCGGCAGACTTGCTCGAATGTTTCCTGCCCCTGGTTCTTCGTACGGTGCAATTCATTCCAATCCCTCGCCTGGAGATCTCCGCGCCCGAGGTTGACTTGCTGCTGGAGAGCTTGATCCTTGAGCCGGGCCATACGGTTAACTACTCGTCCTTTCTTCCCTATCGGATGCACATGACCACACGCAACGATATTGATATCGTGAAGAAGCACTCCAAACGGACCGCCACCGACATCAAAACCACATTGACGGCGACCATCAACGGATTGAATATCAGCGCGTCTGAGTTCGGGTACTGGATCCGGACCCATTCTGGGCCCTTCCTGCGGTTCAACGATGAAGGTGTCGCCAGCTTCTTCCTGGACAGGCGCGGGGTTGACATCTCACTCGACATCGAAGTCGGCCGAGACAGGCTGGAACAGATCTTCACCCTGCGCGGGGTCCGCGTTCGAATCCACAAGCTCGACTACAAGGTGCATCGCAGCCGGTGGAAGTGGCTGCTCTGGCTGACCAAGCCCTTCCTCAAGCACCTCGTGCGTCGAGTGCTCGAGAAGAAAATCGCGGAGAAGATCGTGCAGGCGGCGTTTGCCCTGAACCGGGAGCTGGTGTTCGCCCGCGAACGGCTGCGGGCGGCCCGGATCGCCAACCCGCAGGATCTGGCCAGCTTCGTGCGGGCGGTGCTGGCTCGCTTGAAGGCGCTGCCGGAGACCGACGTTGAAGCGCGGATTGGACTGGAGCCGCCGGGTGAGGGTGTGTTCCGGGGAGTGTACGCCCCCGGCAGTCTGGTCAAGGTGTGGAACGAGCAGGCGCTACGGGCGGAGGAGGCTATCGAAGAGGGCGATGAGTATCGCACTCTGGCGGGAACCTGGAGAAACGAGATCTTCGACGTGCCCGTTCGTCGGGCTTAGGTTTTGGGTGAGGTGCTGAGTAATGTTTTGCCTTGATGGGATAACTATGAGATTGTGCAAGGGGAGAATGCCACAATGTATAGCCACCGGTCCGTTAGGCGTTTCGGTTAGTTGGTAGCGATGAGTTTTGCATTTTGTACTTTGCGTTAACGAATTGAATGAACTGCCTCCATTTATTCTAGTAATAATGGACATTGAACAGTATGCGCATGAGCAGTAGTTACGTCCACGTGACCCGGCCATCGGCCGAACAATTGGCCCGGGGGCGCGTTGCGGCCACCTAATCAGTAGAGAAGCAACTGATAACAGCACTGCAAAACAGCCAGTCTGGCAGGAAACTAACAACCCACTCCCTCTCCTTCTCCCCCCTGTGTCTCGCTGCTTGAGATCTTGACTGATCTTGAGGGACCCGTCAACTGCCCTCGTGGCATTTACTTTAGACCTTCTTTTGTCACTTTATTCCGTCCACGTTCGCACAAGTTGCGAGGTAAATCCCGACTGCTATACTTCGCAGTTTTGGCCGTGGGCTATCGCAAACCGCCTAGCAAACCAACACATACGTACCATACATACTCTCACACACCCACTTCCGGCTGTCAGAACAATCACGACCACCAGAAAGACACATGCGACACACCGTTCCTAACAAAGATTGAAACGACGAAGGAAGAAGCATCCACCATCAATCATGCTCCCCACAATGCGCACCCTCTTCGTCCTGGTGGCCCTCACCCTCTGTCTGGTGCAACTCGCCCTCGCAGCCGACGACTACTACAAGACTCTGGGGCTGGACAAATCCGCCTCGGAGAAGGACATCAAACGCGCCTACCGGACCTTAAGCAAGAAGTTTCATCCGGATAAGAACCCGTGAGTTTTGTGCACCTTCCCCTCCCTTGGAGCTGAGCTCTCCACCACCTCCACCTCCTCCACCACCACCACATAAACTAATCACTGTACACCCTCCCCGAGAAAAAGAGGCGACGACACCGCGCGCGAGAAATTCGTGCTCATCGCCGAAGCCTACGACATCCTATCGACGCCGACCACGCGCAAGATCTACGACCAATACGGGCACGACGGGATCGAGCAGCACCGACAAGGCGGGAGCGCCGGGGGCGGCCGGCGCGGGGGCAACGACCCCTTCGACCTGTTCTCGCGGTTCTTCGGGGGCGGGGGCCATTTCGGGCACGCGCCGGGCCACCGCCGGGGGCCGGACATGGAGCTGAAGGTCGGGTTGCCGCTGCGCGATTTCTACAACGGGCGGGAGGTGTCGTTCGGGGTGGAGAAGCAGCAGATCTGCGACGCATGCGAGGGGACCGGGTCGGCGGATCGCGAGGTGGTGACGTGCGACAAGTGCGCGGGCCGCGGGGTGGTGATCCAGAAGCATCAGCTGGCCCCCGGCATGTTTCAGCAGGTGCAGATGCATTGTGACAAGTGTGGGGGCCAGGGGAAGATGGTGAAGCGGCCGTGTCCCGTGTGTCAGGGCCAGCGGGTCGTGAGGAAGGAGGTGGAGACGTTTGCGACGATCGAGCCGGGGATGGGCAAGGGGACGCGGATTGTGTTTGAGAATGAGGCGGATGAGAGTCCGGATTGGATTGCGGGCGATTTGGTGCTGATTCTCGAGGAGCGCGAGCCCGAGCTGGTGGCGGAGGGCACCGATGGCACCTTCTTCCGCCGGAAGGGCAGGGATCTGTTCTGGAAGGAGGCGCTGTCGCTGCGCGAGGCCTGGATGGGCGAGTGGACCCGGAATATCACCCATTTGGATGGCCATGTTGTGCAGGTGGGCCGGACACGGGGCCAGGTCGTGCAGCCCCTGGCTGTGGAGACCGTCAAGGGCGAGGGCATGCCCTTCTACTCCGAGGGCCATCTGCATGAGTCCGACGACGAGGACGAGAACCCCGGCGATTTGTATATCGAGTACACCGTCATCCTGCCGGATGAGATGGAGAGCGGCATGGAGAAGGACTTCTTTGCCCTGTGGGAGAAGTGGCGCAAGAAGAACGGCGTCGCGCTCGATCAGGACAGCGGTCGTCCCGTGTCTCAGCCTCGTGCTGTGAAGGATGAGTTATAATATATTTCGGTCCAAGATGATTTGTGCAAAGTTGCTCGCATGGATGAAGTTACCAACCACATGCTCTACTCTTCTTCATTCGGGCGGTGCGCTAGATAGACAATCCAATAGAACATATCCCGAGACA